TAAATAAACAAGTTGCCACAAAAGAACTTCAGAGCTGGCCTGTGGCCTACATGATGCAACCGTGTCTCAGACCTCCCCACCCCTGAGTGGCCTCTGACCTGAATTCGGATTCATGTAAACACAGTCACATATATGACTGGTCCACTCTGGGTAACAGTTTGTTTATTTGTTTATTTATTTATTTATTAGATGAGCAGGAAAGAAATGTAAATGACAAGACATATAAGACACTCCATTCTCTTGCCTCTGCTTTCTTGTTACATGATAAGAGCATCCATTCTTAGGAAAATATTGCTGGAGTGTCAGACCCAGTAAATGAGACTCCTTGTGATTACTTTCTAGGGTACTAGGAAAAGCACTGGGCATTTCTGTGAGCTGTGCATAGTCCTAGATAGTTTTGATGATTTAACTAGAAAGCTATTAAGAAAAACATCTTTTTAAGCCACAAGCAGGCTTGGCTGTCATGGGACCAGAAAGCCGTGTCCTTTCATTTCTGGCTTCCTGATGCTGGCTGACGACTGTCTACCTGCACTGCTCTTCCGAGGTAGCCAGGGTAAAGAGACAGCCCTGCCTCCAATGGGCCTCCTGATCAGGTTCTTCAGTAATCAAAATGGACATGTCTGAGGACATGAGGCACAAGTTCTCCTACCTGTTACTTAGTTCCCCCTCCCAACCCCCACTGGAACCTCATACCATAGACACATGGTACAGCTTACAAATGGCAGGGTTAAAACATGAACCTGTCTGATAGACCACAAACCTGGCAGATACCTGTATGATCAAAATACAGAATAACAAAGAGAGCTGCTGGTAGTTTAATGGCAATTCAGCACTCATTCTGCTTGTTACCACTTCACAACTATAAAACCAGAAAAAATAAATCCAGTATGAAGCATACCAATAGTTTCATGATGCCATACCTTTTAGGTCTTCAAGGGGAAGAGTAAATGAGCCTTTTCTAAACTACCAAAGGTATTTTGAAGTATATATAATAAGTCCTTTGCCTGTACCCTCAGGCTCTCATAAAGACTGTAATCAGTTCAGAAGTTACTACGGAAATGTGTTACTAACAGGCACCCACATCAAGCTCTCCAATAGACAGCTGCCACTTCCAGCTAAGTACCCAGTCCTGCTCTGGAAAACTGCAGCTACAGGATGCTGGGATCACAACTCTAAACAAAACAAAACAAAACTGCTAAGAAGTATAAGGTGGTCCAAGAGGGGATGGTATTTCTTAGAAACTGAGTGACACTTTCTGCGTGTGTGGCTCTCCTGGTTCCCTAAGCTATACAGCCTGGCAGAGCCTCAGAAGGCCACAGAAGTTCAGGCTAGCCTCACACCTACTTCTGATCCCCCTGCTAACGCCTCCCCAGCCCTGAGGCTATAGAGACTCTCCACCATGCCTGGCTCCTCTCAACAGGAAGGTCCCAGTGTAGAATCTACCGGACCCCATAAAATTGTGGTTAGCCTACAAGTACCAAAGTTTCTACTGAACACATCATGGACTAAGGCTAGAAGAAAGAAGCTTAAGTCAGGAATTTTATGTTTCCAGCTTTCCTTCCCTCTGACCTTTGAAGGTATCTTTCTTTACAGGAGTCTCAACCTTCAGGCTATGGTAAGTGTTCTCTCTCTTGGAGCTTAGGAACTATTTATTATCAAGCAGTCTAGTTGTAGAAGGTTCACCTTTGCACATATTTCACGTCTAGAAACCTTCTTTAAAAATGATTTTGTTTATTTATTTATTAATTATATACAGTGTTCCACTGCACATACGCCTGCACACCAGAAGAGGGCACCAGATCTCATTGTGGATGCTGTAACAATGTGGTTGCTGGGAATTGTCCTCTAGAAGAGCAACCAGTGCTCTTAACCTCTGAGCCATCTCTCTAGTACCTCTAAAACCCTTTTAAAATAACCTCAACCTGAGCAAGCCGTTTCCTGTTGAGACCCTCAGAAATGAAGAAGGTATTTTATTACTTGCCACCAAAAGCAGCCTAGGTGATATCCCTACCATGGACATCATGAGAAATGCCAGGAACACTTCCACTCCAGTTTCTGGGGAGCTAGTGTGCTTGTGATGTTGGAAGGCAGGTTGACGACAATGAAGGGGGAAGAAATAGCATATATCAACATATGCTTTTTGGGTAACCACAGAGGAAGGAGATGAGAGACAACCCTTAATAGATAGTGGAATAAAAACCTGAAAAGAATGAATCAAGCACTTGGGAGATAAGACAGGAGGATTAGGTGATGGAGCTGTGGTATGTGATAGTCTGTCATAAAAAAATAAAGTATAATTTAGTGAAAAAGAAAATATAGAGTAGACATTTTTTGATTTTTTTCTTGAAGGATGGGACTCAGGTTTGAGTAACAAGTACTTTAGCTGCTAAGCCATCATCTCCCTTGCCCTGTATTATTTCTTTTCTTTTTGGTTTTTCTGAGACAGGGTTTCTCTGTGTATCCCTGGCTGTCCTGGACTCACTCTGTAGATCAGGCTGGTCTCAACTCAAAGATCTGCCTGCTTCTGTCTCCCAAGTGCTGGGATTTAAAGGCGTGTACCAGCACTGCCTAGTTCCTAGTTCAGAGTGAACATTTTTATTCCAAAGTCTACAAGGGAGACAGACATCTTGATTATTATCATTATTGTTTTTTTTTTTTTTTGAGACAGGGTCTCTCTATGTAGCCTTGGCTGTCCTGGAGCTTGATAATGTAAACCAGGTTAGTCTTGAATCTACAGAGACCTGCCTGCCTCCAAGTGCTGGAGTTGAAGGCACGTACCACCTCTCTCAACTTCATTTTGATGGTTTTTTTTTTTTTTTTTTGGTTTTTACGAGACAGGGTTTCTTCATTTTGATGTTTTAATTTTACAGATGCGGGCCAGGTGAGGACTAGAAACATGAAGTAACTTCTGAAGGTTGCAGCAAGGGTGAACCAGGAATATAAAACAGATATAATGATGCAAATTCTGTGTTTTTTCTCTCTGGAGTTTGCCCTCCCTGTATGAATCAAGCTCAGGAAGTCAGGATGGTACAGAAAAAGAAAGGAAAAGGGAAGAGGAAGCATGATTTTTTGGTTTATGCTGCCCTTCATATCCTCATTTAAGATTTTTCTGAAATTCCTTTAACATCTAAGAAAAACCACATGGGGGGGGGGGAGGAAGAGAGTACTGGGGGAGGGGGAGCCAATCCAACAGCTTGCAGTAGCCTGGGATTCCAGAATAAATACTGAAGTTGGCAGAACATGTAGTATCCTTCCTCTCAGTAGGTCACATGAGGACATTGCCTAATATCCGTTATGTGTGTTGTGTGTGTCTGGGAACATATAATATTTATGTTCTCCTCAAATGCTTAGGTACCCTTTTCTTATCCCAAAAAGATTTTCTGTGTCATGGCTCCTGATTTAATCTCCAAGTGTCATGGAAAACTGGTCCTAAAGACCTAGAACTTCTTAGAAACAGAGGACTGAGTATTCTCCCAGACAAAGGCTCAGATGAGTTCATTCCAAATGCTGAGTAAATGGGAGGGTTTGTAGTGGAAACCATAATGCTATGTTGTGGTCACATTTTCACAATTCTTTGGGGGCTGGGAGGGTGGCCCCTTTGCTTGGATAGGTTGGAAGGCTATTAACATTCTCTTCTGTGGAAATGCAGCCCAGATTTGAGAGTCAAGATCAAGTCATGAGACTCGCTGGAGTCAAACCCTGGCACCAGCTGCAAGTGCTTTTACACAGCTGTGCCATCGCTCTAAAAACACAGTCTAGAACATGCTCACAGGGAAAACAGACCAGACCTATCAAGTCAGATAATTTCAGCATGTGACAACTCAATAAAGTGACCCTCAGGTCATTTAATATCTGATGCAAGAATAGATGAAGGTGATTTTTTAACTCCTAAAGGCAGTAAAATTACTGATTTTAACAACCAACTACCAAATTACTATTGAAAACAGATGTCTCTCATTGATACAGGAAATGACTGACGATAGTAGTGGGTAGAAAGGCAGGCTGAAAAATAGTTTTGTGGAAAAGTATCTGTGGCTATCAAATCTAAGATGTTTTTTCCCTTTGTGACTTTTTTTTCAGTTTGACACAACACATATTTAAAATTTGATTAAAGATTTGTATTTTTTTTTAAAGAGTGAGCTAGCCGGTCAGTAGTGGCGCACGCCTTTAATCCCAGCACTCGGGAGGTAGAGGCAGGCGGATCTCTGTGAGTTTGAGGCCAGCCTGGTCTACAGAGTGAGTTCCAGGACAGCTAGGGCTGTTACATAGAGAAACCCTTTCTTGAAAAAACAACAACAAAACAAAAAACCAAAACCAAAAAGAACAAAAACCCAAAAACAAACAAACAAAAAAAAAGAGTGAGTTGTTTCTAGGTGTAACCCTCAAATGGGGTAGTGCATAGGTTGGTACATGACCAAAATTGCTAGTGAGCTCAGTAAAACTAAATACTGAAAAAAAAAAAACCAGCATGTATTTTTCTTCAAGAATTTTAGGGAACACTAGTAGCACCTTAGGAGCACTGGTGTCCATCTTTTTTTCCCCTCAATATATGTTTTTATTTAAATTAGAAACATGAATGCTTCACATGTCAATCCTAGCTCCCTCTCCCACCCCTCCTCCCTTGTCCCTCCACCAGCTCCCCAGCCCCCCACCCAACCCCCACATCATTCCCCAGGGAGGGTGAGGCCTGGTATCCATGTTGACAAGGATATCATAAGATGATGGAGGTGTTAAATTAAATGTGCACCCAATTGAAAACTGAAATGTGACTCTAATTTTTCTCTTACGCTATATCTATCAAATGCCTGAAAGATTACCTGCTTAATCTTCTATGCTAATCTTAAATTCATATTTTGAAAAAAATTGATAGAGAAAGGAATCCAAGTTAAAAAATATCACATACAAGTCAGGCTAAGGACTGGCTGCAGAAAATGACTCCTTAGCTTGCCTTGTGGAAGTGTAAAGGAATGAGAGTCAGAAAGAGGCATGTGGGGACTCACCTTGCCAGCAAGATCCCTTGGTACTCTTCCAGTTGTCTCATGAAGCTGGGGTTAGGCTTGGTCACTGTTCGTCTCTCTTTCACATAGTCATAAGCTCGATCCAGATTCCAGCCATACTCCTTCATTGCATAAGCAATCACAGTGGAGGCCGAGCGACTCACCCCCATTTTGCAGTGCACGAGGCATTTAGATCCATGTTTCCTAGTTGGGTAATTGAGGTGAAAAAAGACAGCACAGTAGACAGCTGGGTTTTAAGTTCCTGTATTGCGCCCCCCCCATTTTGCTATGCAATACTTTCATCTTAGTACATCCATATGCCTCTCTGATCAAGTATGAGGGTAAAGTAAGCAGTTTTAACTGTTTATTTAAACCTTCTCAAGACAAGGTTTCTATGTGTAGTCCTGGCCTCAAACTCAGAGATCCAGCTGCCTCAGCCTCCCCAGTGCTAGGATTAAAGGAGTGTGCAACCACTGTTCAGCTCTTTTTTTCCTCCAATTTTAATAGTAACCCTCTTAATCTACTCAGTAAAGATTTACCAAGTATTTGCCATATATAAGATAATATGTTTAAGGTGTTAGACATAAACTTAAGTAACACACAGCTTTTATCCTAAAGGAAAGGACTTAGTTCCAGAAACAGATCATTAAGATTCCATGTGTTAGTGTACTGAGGTCACTCATTTCCTGCCTGGTGGAGGCTGTTCCCCCACAGCCCTCAGGCATGTCTCCTGGCTGGAATTCTCCTGAGTTACAGGTGTGGTAATGACTCATCTGATTTATTCTAATAGAGTTGTTTCTAGTTAAATTCCCAGGAAGGGCTCTGTCCCTGGAGGAAAGCATACACGATGGCGGCTTTTCTTCTCTATTCAGACACAACTGTAGATAGCACCTTTCACACACCACCACAAAGGAGAGGGATGAAAGCATGTGCTATATCACATGGCTTTCTCAGTGATGAAGGTGGAATGTTTGCTCAGGGCTCCACACATCCAAGGGACATGCTCTGTCACTGATCTACACTCCAGCTCTTGTGGGATTTTAATGCAAGGGAAGGAAGAGAAAACAATGCTACCAAAAAGCAAACAAAATACATCAGTCTTAACAGGTCAAAGCTAATTATCTTGGATATGAACATTATTTAGTTATGCTCTAACTCTAATAATGTAGTGTTACAGCACAACAGAAGTCTTTAAAGTTCTGTTAAATGCATGAATAAATTATGGATGTGCTGACCACATCTTCCAGTTATTGAAGAAGGAATATTTTAAAACCTAGAGAAAAAGAACTGCTACTCTTATGGCTATTGCTCGTAGATTCCAGAATCCTTTCAAGTAACTGTTTCAATAAATCAAAACATGTACATGTGAGCATAAGGGGACAAGCTATTCATTTGCTTACTGACTGATGGTTGGCAAGCTTTCTTCCTGGAGATATAAGCTACATGAATGAGTGAGGAATTACCAGTGCAAGCAAGCTTGAGGAGACCTGCCCAAACGAGTGAGTCGATAAGCTACAAGAATGCAAATATGGAGTATAATACTTTTCCTTAATTTTAAAAACTCTATTTATTTGAGTACGTATGGGTGGGCAGGCATCTGAGTGTGATGGTACACATGTGGAGGCCATAGGATGACTTGAAGGAGTGAGCTCACTCAACTTCTACTTTGTGTGTTCTGGGGATTAAACTTAGGTCATCAGGCTTGGCAACACTGAGCCATCTTGATGGTCCTTACTGTAGAGTTTAAAAAAATTTTTTATTAGACTACATTTTGGAAGATAATGCACAGTGACTCAGAAGAAAATTTAGATTTGTGTCTACATTTTCTAACTGAACTCTAACAACTTTAAACATCAAATTTTAGGCCTTTGCTTGTTGGCATGGAATGTGCTTAAACCTGGACAAGCCTAAGTAAAATAAAATTCATTCCCTATGAAAGCACCTCTTTCACCACCACCCCCTTCATTCCTCCCTCCTTCCCTGCCTCTCTTTTTGTTTTTCCAAGACAGGGTTTTTCTGTGTAGCCTTGGATATCCTGGAACTCACTCTGTAGACCAGGCTGGAACTCAAGAGATTGGCCTGTCTCTGCCTTTCAAGTGTTGGAAATAAAGGTGTGTGCTACCATGCCCTGCTTTTCTGTGGTTATATATAATTTATGATTTATTTATTTATTGTTTGGTTTTATGAGACAGGGTTTCTCTGTATTGTTTTGGAGGCTGTTGGTCCAGCCCAGCCTCGAAGTCACAGAGATCCGCCTGCCTCTGCCTCCCGAGTGCTGGGACTAAAGGTGTGCGCCACTACTGTCCGGCTATTTATGATTTATAAAAGCTTGCCTGAGGGTACAGAAAGCCACAATCCACAGAGCCAGGCAGTGGTGGCATACACCTTTAATCCTAGAACTCAAAAGACAAGCAGCTGGATCTGTTAGTCCAAGTCCTCACTGAACTACATGAAACTGATCCAGTCCTAAAGAGAGACAGCTCACACAAAGATGATCTCAGTATGTGGGACCACACACCTTCAATCCCAGCACAAGGGAGATATAAAAGGAAGAACCAATGGGTCTCATGAGAGATTTATCCTCTAGTCACACTGAGGACAGGATAACCACTTTGGTCTAAGGTAAGAGCTAGTGGCTGGCTGCTTTGCTTTTCTGATCTTCAGCTTGAAGCCTGACCCCCAATATCTGTCTCTGGGTCTTTATTATTCGTGTCACACTTCTCTGGCATTTTTTCCACTGGGCTTTTTAAGTGCACAGCTTCTAACTTATTTAACAGGGATCTAAGTTAGGTATCAACTAACCCACACTTCAATTTTGCCCCTCAATCTCTGTGTGGGATGGTCTAGATTAAGTCTGGCATCATCATATTAGCAGTAGCACCTTGTATAAGGAGATATAGGAGGAGAAACTTGTGGACAACTGTGTCCATTGGTGACTCTGGTGCTTGTGATGGCTAATTGATTGTCAGCTTGGATACACATGGAATTATCTAAAACTGGAAAATGGCTGAGCACACCAGTGAGAGACTTTTGCTTAATTAAATCATTTGAAGTGGGAAGACTCACTTCTAATCGGGATCTTTGAGGTGGAAAGACCCACCTCTAATCTGGGCCTCCTTCTGCTGGCAGCCTACATAAAGGAAACGGAAGAAGGAAGCTTCACTCTTTGCCTGCTTCCTCCTGCCCTCGCTATCGGGTCCATTCCTTCACTGGCATTAGAGCCTATTTCTTTGGGATTCCAGGGTATCCTGAAGACCAGATGAGACATCAGCCTCAGGGACTGAACAACTAGTGAACTCTTGGACTTTCTGTTTATAGGCAGCCACTGTTGGGTTAGCTGGACTGTAGCCTGTAAGTCATTAGAATACATATGCACACACACACACACACACACACACACATTCACCCTATAAGTTCTGTTACTCTAGAGAATTCTTACTAATGCAGACTTTGGTGCCAAAAGTGGCTCTAGAGCAACAGAAGTATAAGGATGAATAGGTTTTCCAATTTGCCAGTCCCTACTGTTATCAAAGACTCTCCTGTCACTGAAGCCTTGCCTGAGAGCTTGTAGAATACTTAAAGTCTATTTTACAAAATTAAGGCAACAAGTGCATTTGGTTATTCTGATTCACCAATTGTAAGAGGCAATAGATTTGGTGACTGTCCTGTCTATGAAGACTGTTAGAGGGGAATGTGGAGTAATTTCTGAAGTAAGTTAATAAAAAAAGATATTTCTCATCTACTAAAGATGGTTTGAATGCTGTCCTTTCTGAAGAGGCTTGTGGCCAAGCAGCTCATTTATGATTCATTCTTCCTAGTGAAAAGATGAATAAAGTTGGGAAAAGAGTCCTCAGAGCTTTAAGTCAATTAATTTGAAGATGACATCAACAAAAGGCAAGAGAGAAACCTCATCATTTAGAATATCTACAATAAAGCCCATGACTGGGAAGATTTCCAAAGCTCACTGTTTGTCTCTGTATGTTCAGAAAGGCCTAGTATTTTACCTGTTCATGACAGTTTTTGCTATACAATTTACAAATATCTCAGTGCCAATTTAATTCAGAGCCTGGCATGGTGGATAGTGCATGCTTTTAATTTTAGCACTTGGGAAGCAGAAGCAGACAGATTTCCATGAGTTTGAGGACAGCCCGGTCTTCTTAGAGTTCCAGGTTATTTAGGACTACACAATTGAGACCTTGTCTCAAAAACTCTTTTTTCTACAATTTCTTACTTTTATTTCTTTTTCTTTTAAGATTTACTTATTGCCAGGTGTGGGTGGCACATGCCTTTAATCCCAGCACTTGGGAGGTAGAGGCAGGTGCATCTCTTTGAGTTCAAGACCAGCCTGGTCTACCAAGCGAGTTCCAGGACAGGCTCCAAAAAAATACAGAGAAACCCTGCCTCAAAAAAATAAACAAAAAAGATTTACTTATTTATTTTATGTATATGAGTGTTCTATCTGCATATATTCCTGCATGCCAGAAGAAGGCATCAGATACCATTATCAATGGCTGTGAGTCACCAGGTGGTTGCTGGGAATTGAACTTAGGTCTCCTGGAAGAGCAGCCAATTCCCGTAATCACTGATCCATCTCTCTAGCCCCTCACTTTTATTTCTTTAGGTGTAGCATAGTTCCATTTTCTTTAATTTTGTGCTTAGTAGAAAATGAGGCTACATGAGGTTATCTTATTCTAAGTGATTTCATTTGCTTAAAGGGAAAGTGTTAGGTCACCGATCTTTTGTTTAGGATCATGAATTCTCAGTACCTTTCCCCCTTTACATCCTTTTCTCTAAGTATTACCAGTAAATTATGGCAGCCTCTCATTCCTAGCCATGTTCGCACTATGAAGAAGGAGCAGAATGTAGTAAGAGACAATACTCACTTTGCTTTAGAGATGAATTTGTAAGTGTCATTCCAGTAAGCCAGGAGATCTGTTGCCTCTTCATCATATACTCGGATGTTATGATACTCAAAGACCCCAGGAAAAAAGTTGTCTATCTCTCGAGTGACATTCAAGATGTACCGCACCCTGCGAAGAAACAAAGGGAGGGCGTGTATTCTGTTTCTCAGGCAAAAATGAGTTCACAGCACCATATCTGCCATGTTCAATACCTAAGTTCCATTTCACCTTATGTATGGTTATACAATCTCATCTTTGGTAGTATTTTGGAAACAGCCCTCCTATCTATATTGACTAAAATCAATCTAAGATCCACAACCTAGCAATTTCTATTGCTAAAATTACCAACAATAAAATTTTGTTTGGAAATTGTTTGTATAAAACCAGACTACTGACATACTCCAAGAAAAAAGAGAAAAGGAAGATTTTCTTATTTTTCTGAATGTCAGATTGTTAGGCAAGAAACTTCGAGGGTCTGTGGAAAGCTGGACCTAAAACTCCCGAGTCTATCTGGCTGCATCCTGCTAAGAGTTCTCACATGTTGAGTTGCTACCAGAAAAGGGTTTCTCTATTACAAACTTTCCTATCATCTCTCTCCCCAAACCAGCTTAATTAATGTGTGGGTTTAACTGATCAAAGGCCCTTTTTTCTTCAATGTTATATAGACTTCAACATCACTGGAGTCTACTCCAGCAACACAGGAGCAGGCTTTCTACAAAACTGTTTCCCTCAAATAACCAACCATATGTGGGGCTCCATAAACTCGGCTTCTGAAGAAGTCAGGCAAGTAAAAAGACTACAGAAGAGATATAATCAATATAACCACTCTATCTGGTCAAGGCCAAAATTTCTGAGATATGAATTGAATTCGTTTTAATGTAACACTAAAGTCTAGTAATAGAAATGATTTTCTTTTAAATTAAAAAAGGAAAATTAAAAAATTTCACATTCCACACAGCAGCAATGTAAAACAGTGCAACTGCTGTGGAAAACAGCTTAGCAATCACCAAGAAGGTCAAACAAAGAGTCACTACACCAGCATCAGTCCACTCCACAACCTGCACAGAGGGGGTCACTGCGACATCATTCATGATAGCCAAAAAGGGGCTGTCAATTGATGACATTAGTGGCTTAATTAACTAGGTAGTTTGCATAACTTAGAAACATTTATTAAAACCTACAGAATTGAACATTTTAACTGTGTTAATTATATCGCATTATGAGTTACATTCAATAAAATGATTAGAAGAAAAAGCAAGAACACTTATTTTAGTTTTATTTACTCTTTTTTTTTCTTTTTAAGACAAGATCTCTATGTGCAGCTGGGATTTCCCTGGAACTCTATGTAGACCAGGCTGGCTGCAAATTCAGAAACTTGCCTCTTCTACTGAGTGCTGGGGTTAAGGGCATAAGTCACCATGCCTGGCTCACAGATTTTATTTAAAATAAAAATGAGGGTCTGGAGAGACGGCTCAGAGGTTTAGAGTACTTGCTGTTCTTCAGAGGACTAGAGTTCAATTCTCAGCACCCACATGAAGAAATTCACAATTAGCCATGATTCCTAGTTCCAGGGGGATGCTCTCTTTTACCTCCTCTTAAGACACTCACAAATGAGTCATGTGGGCACATGCACACTTGAACGTGCATGTACACACACACACACACACACATACACCAAAAACCAACCAATCTTTTCCTTCTAATCCTATACTTCAGTAATGGATTATGACCTATAGGACAGCACACAGTTTCCTAATTCATTTCATTTCAGAGTTGAAAATGTCCACTGCTGACTGGTACTGTAACTCCTTGAAATTTCTTTGCTGTACCAGCAATTCTGTGACTTTAAGTGGAGTAACTCTTGGAGTTAGTTTCTAAAGTCAGCACACTATCTGGAAATGACCTTAGCATCAAAATTGCATTTTGAGCCTGGTGGTGGTGGTGCATGCCTTTAATCCCAGCACTCAAGAGGCAGAGGCAGAGGAAGGCAGATCTCTGTGAGTTTGAGACCAGCTTGGTCTACAGAGTGAGTTCCAGGACAGCCAGGGCTACACAGAGAAACCCTGTTTCAGAAAACAAAAAACAAACAAAAATTGCACTTTGAAATAGCACAAATCATTGGCAGGAAATAGCACATACAGTTTTGTGACATACTGAAGCTTAAGACCAATTGAATTTAAGAAATAAGACCCAAGTAGATGTCTATACATCCAATCATTCTGTTTTTAAAGACAACGAGATTCAGTTGAACTTTTTTGTTAAGCCTTATAAGAGTAAATGATGGCTGTTATTCCGCAGTAAGGTGACTATGGATACTGTACATTTCAAAAAGCAAAAAGAAAAGATTTTGAAAGTTTTCACCATAAAGAATAATAGAAACACCAACACGACCCCACCAGAATCCAGGGATCCAACACCAGCAAGACCTGAAAAGCACTACATAGATGAAGAAGAGGAGACAGACCTTAAAAATTATTTCATGAAGATGATGGAGAGCCTCAAGGAAGAAACGAGGAAATCCCTTAAAGAAATAGAAGAAAAAACAAACAAAAAAATCCATGAAATGGGGGGAAAAATTCAAGAAATAAACAAATCTCTCAAAGAATCTAAAGAGCACCAAGAAAAAACAACCAAGAAAATTAAGGAAACAGCTCAAACAGTTGAAGGATTGAAAGCTGAAATAGAAACGATAAAGAAAACACAGAATGAAGGGATGCTGGAAATAGAAAAGCTCGGTAAACGGTCTGGAATCACAGATGCAAGCATCACCAATAGAATACAAGAGATAGAAGAGAGAATCTCAGGTGTTGAAGACTCATTAGAGGACATAGCATCGTCAACCAAAGAAAATCTCAAAACCAACAAATCCTTAACACAAAATATCCAGGAAATATGGGACACCATGAAGAAGCCAAACCTGAGAATAATAGGTATAGAAGAAGGTGAAGAACTTCAACTTAAAGGTACAGAAAACATATTCAACAAAATCATAGAAGAAAACTTCCCTAACCTAAAGAAAGATATGCCTATGAAAGTACAAGAATCTTACAGAACACCAAATAGGCTTGACCAGAAGAAGAAGTCACCTCGCCATATAATAATCAAAACATCAAACCTACAGAGCAAAGAGAAAATATTAAGAGCAGCTAAAGAAAAAGGCCAAGTAACATACAAAGGCAGACCTATCCGAATTACACCTGACTTCTCAATGGAAACGATGAAAGCCAGAAGATCCTGGTCAGATGTCCTACAAACGCTAAGGGAACAAGGATGCCAGCCCAGACTACTATATCCAGCAAAGCTCTCAATTACCATAGATGGAGAAAACAAAATATTCCATGACAAAGCCAGATTTAAACAATACGTATCCATGAATCCAGCTCTACAGAAAATGCTAGAAGGAAAACCTAGAGCCAAGGAAGATAACTACATTCACAAAGACACAGGCAATATAGAATCATACTTTACAAAGCACTAAAAGAAAAAGGGAGGAGAAACTACACAAAATAACTTCACTAATAATAAATCAAGCGCAAACAAGGATCACCAATCAATGGTCATTAATATCCCTCAATGTCAATGGCCTCAACTTACCTATAAAAAGACACAGACTAGCAGAATGGATACGAAGACAGAACCCTTCCTTCTGCTGCATACAAGAAACACATCTCAACACCAAAGACAGACGTTATCTCAGAGTAAAGGGCTGGGAAAAGATCTTCCAATCAAACGGCCCCAAGAAACAAGCGGGCGTAGCAATCCTAATATCTAACAAATTAGACTTCAAATTAAAATCAATCAAAAGAGATGAAGAAGGGCACTTCATATTCATCAAAGGAAAAATACATCAAGACGAAGTCTCGATTTTAAATATCTACGCCCCAAATACAAAGGCACCTACATTCGTGAAAGAAACATTACTAAAGCTCAAAATGCACATAAAATCTCACACACTAATAGTAGGAGACTTCAACACTCCGCTCTCACCGCTAGATAGGACCTCCAGACAGAAACTTAACAAAGAAACAAAAGAATTAATAGAAGTTATGACCCAACTGGGTTTAACAGACATCTATAGAACATTCCACCCAAATACAAAGGGATATACCTTCTTCTCGGCACCACATGGAACCTTCTCTAAAATTGACCACATAATAGGAAACATAGCAAATCTCCACAGATACAAAAAAATTGGAATAACCCCCTGCATCTTATCAGACCACCATGCATTAACATTAGAATTCAACAATAACACAAATCGCAGAAACCCTACAAACTCATGGAGATTGAACAATGCACAATTGCACCATCCCTGGGTAAAGGAACAAATAAAAAAAGAAATTAAAGACTTCCTCGATTTCAATGAGAATGAAGACACAACATACACAAACTTATGGGACACTTTGAAAGCAGTGCTGAGAGGAAAGTTTATAGCACTAAGTGCCCACATGAAAAAACTGGAGAACAGTCATACTAGAGAATTAATAGCACAGCTGAATGTTCTAGAACAAAAAGAAGCAAACTCCCCAGGAGGAGCAGACGCCAGGAAATAATCAAATTGAGGGCTGAAATCAATCAAGTAGAAACCAGGAAAACATTGAGAAGAATCAATGAAACAAAGAGTTGGTTCTTTGAGAAAATCAACAAAATAGACAAACCTCTGTCCAAACTAACCAAAAGACAGAGAGAGAACATGCTAATTAACAAAATCAGGGATGAGAAAGGGGACATAACAACGGACTCTGAGGAAATCAAGAGAATCATCAGGGCATACTTTGAAAATCTGTACTCCACAAAATTTGAAAATTTAAAAGAAATGGACAATTTCCTGGATAGATATCACTTGCCAAAACTAAATCAAGAACAGATAAATAATCTAAACAGACCTATAACCCCTAATGAAATAGAAGCAGTCATCAAAAGTCTCCCAAACAAAAAAAGCCCAGGCCCAGATGGCTTCAGTGCAGAATTCTACCAGAAATTCAAAGAAGAGCTCATTCCAATACTCGTCAAAGTATTCCACACTATAGAAGCAGGAGGCTCACTGCCAAACTCTTTCTACGAGGCTACAATTACCTTGATACCCAAGCCACACAAAGACACAACTAAGAAAGAGAACTATAGACCAATTTCCCTCATGAACATTGATGCAAAAATACTCAATAAAATACTTGCAAACCGGATTCAAGAACACATCAGAAAAATCATCCACCATGATCAAGTAGGCTTCATTCCAGGAATGCAGGGATGGTTCAACATTAGAAAATCTATCAATGTAATCCACCATATTAACAATCTGCGAAAGAAAAACCACATGATCATCTCACTAGATGCTGAAAAAGCCTTTGACAAAATCCAGCACCCCTTCATGATAAAGGTCCTAGAGAGATCAGGGATAACAGGAACGTACCTGAACATAATAAAAGCAATATACAGTAAACCAACAGCTAACATCAAACTAAATGGAGAGAAACTCAAAGCAATTCCTCTAAAATCAGGAACAAGACAAGGCTGTCCACTCTCTCCATATCTCTTCAATATTGTACTTGAAGTTCTAGCTACAGCAATAAGACAACAAAAGGAGATAAAGGGGATACAAATAGGAAAAGAAGAAGTCAAGCTTTCATTATTTGCAGATGATATGATAGTTTACATATGTGACCCAAAAAACTCCGCAAGGTTACTCCTAGAGCTGATAAACAGCTTCAGCAAAGTGGCAGGATACAAGGTAAACTCAAAAAAATCAGTGGCCCTATTATATACAGATGATGAAGTGACTGAGAAAGAAATCAGAGAAACATCACCTTTTACAATAGCCAAAAACAGCATCAAATATCTGGGGATAATGTTAACCAAGGAAGTGAAAGACCTGTATATCAAAAACTTTGTGTCTTTGAAGAAAGAAATCAAAGAAGATACCAGAAAATGGAAAGATCTCCCATGCTCTTGGATTGGTAGGATCAACATAATAAAAATGGCAATCTTGCCAAAAGCAGTCTATAGATTCAATGCAATCCCTATCAAAATTCCATCACAATTCTTCAAGGACCTGGAAAGATCATTAATCAACTTTATATGGAAAAACAAAAGGCCCAGGATAGCCAAAACATCCCTATACAATAAAGGAACTTCAGGAGGCATCACCATACCTGATTTCAAGCTCTATTATAGAGCTATAGTCCTGAAAACAGCTTGGTATTGGCACAAAAATAGGCAGGTAGACCAATGGAACCGAATCGAAAGCCCTAATTTTAACCCACACACCTATGAACACCTGATTTTTGACAAAGAAGCTAAAACTGTACAGTGGAAAAAAGAAAGCATCTTCAACAAATGGTGCTGGCATAACTGGGTAATGGTATGCAGAAGACTGCAGATAGATCCATGTTTATCGCCTTGTACAAAACTTAAGTCCAAATGGATCAAAGATCTCAACATACATCCAGCCACACTGAAACTTTTAGAAGAGAAAGTGGGAGATACTCTTCAACGAGTTGGTACAGGAGACCACTTCCTAAACATAACACCAGTGGCACAGGCACTGAGATCAACAATTAACAAATGGGACCTTCTGAAACTAAAAAGCTTTTGTAAGGCAAAGGACACAATCAAAAAGACAAAAAGGCAGGCCACAGAATGGGAAAAGATATTCACTAACCCTACATCTGACAGAGGGCTAATCTCCAAAATTTACAAAGAACTCAAGAAACAAGTCTCCAAAACACCAAAGGATCCACTTGAAAGGTGGGGTACAGAGCTAAATAGAGAATTCTCAGTAGAGGAGGCTAAAATGGCCAAGAGACACTTAAGAAAGTGCTCAACATCCTTAGCCATCAGGGAAATGCAAATCAAAACAACTCTGAGATACCATCTTACTCCTGTCAGAATGGCTAGAATCAAAAACACCGAAGACAATTTATGCTGGAGAGGATGTGGAGAGAGAGGATCACTCCTCCATTGCTGGTGGGAATGCCGACTCATACAGCCTCTTTGGAAATCAGTATGGAGATTCCTCAGGAAAATGGGAATTAATCTACCACTAGACCCAGCAATTCCACTCTTAGGCATTTATCCAAATGAGGCAGGTTCATACAACAAGGGCATCTGCTCCACTATGTTCATAGCAGCATTGTTTGTAATAGCCAGAACCTGGAAGCAACCTAGATGCCCCTCAACTGAAGAGTGGATAGAGAAAATGTGGTACATTTACACAATGGAGTATTACTCAGCAGAAAAAAACAATGGAATCTTGAAATTCGCAGGGAAATGGATAGCACTGGAAGAAACCATCCTGAGTGAGGTAACCCAGTCGCAAAAAGACAAACATGGTATGTACTCACTCATATATGGATTTTAAATATGGATCAGGATAGTGCCAGTCTGCACTTCCACAGATAGAGAGTCTGGGAAACAGGAAAGAACCTAAAAGATATGCATATATGCATAGTACCCAAGAGAAGAGGATGGAGACAAGATCCTCTGAATGGATGGGGAACAGGGCGAGGGGGGTAGTGGGACCTGGGAAGAGTAGAGGGGGTAAAGAGGAAGGGAGTTGGTCATGGGGGAACAGGAAGTTGAGGGGGTGGGGGTAAAATAGGGGGAAGAGGGAATCATAGGATCGAAGACAGATCAGGCACCAGAGTGACCTCGAGTGATCTAAAGGTATAACATCAATTGGCAAGCTAAGCAATAGTGGAAGGACCACCTCGAATGCCCATTCCTGATAATGAACTTGATGTCTATAACTATCCGGGAGCCTTCATCCTGGGACTGATGGAAGCAGAGGCAAACACACAACTAAGCACTGAACTGAACCCAAGGAACCCAGTGACAGAGAGAGAGGAGTGATGAGCAAATTGGCAAGGAATGGGCTGGCAAAACCAGCAGAGACGGCTGATCTGAACAGGGGAGTGCTCTTGGACCCCAGACCGACAGTGGGGAGGCCAGAATGGGACTGATCTGGACCCCCAAATGTGAGTGTCAGTGAGAAGGCCTGGGCAACCTATGGGGCTCTGAGCTGTGGATCAGTGTCTATCCCTGGTATACAATCTGTCTTCATGTGCCTATGGCACAAAGAGAGATGCTCTCTCAGCCTGGACTCTTAGGGGAGTGCCTTGACCCTACCAAGAGTGAAATGATAGACTCTAGACATCCCCTATGTGGAGGGATTTGGCAATAGGGTGGGAGGGAGGGTGGAAGGGGAGTGCGGGAGGAGGGGAGGGAGAGGGAACTGGGATTGACATGTGAAACAAGCTATTTAAAATTAAAATAAAAAATGATTAAAAAAAAAAAAAAAAAGAATTGATAAATGGGGGTGGAAGAGATGGCTTAATAGTTAAGAGCACTGGATGCTCTTTCAGAGAACTCAGGTTTGATTCCCAGCATAACAGCACACAACCATCTAGAACTCTAGTCTGATGTCCTCTTCTGGCCTCTAGGGCATCAAGCATGCGAGCAATACACAGACATACATGCAGTCAAAATACCCATACACATAAAAACAAAATAAAACTAATTAAAAAAGAATTGGAAAATGTTCCAGATGACAACCTTGATTTAAAACATTAAATACAGGTACCCAAACATCACATGATACCACATTGATATGTACAATTTTAATATTTTTATAAAATGTTTTAATAAAAGAAGTATATAAGATGGACAGTCTCATCTTCAGCTAGTATTATAGCTTCTGTATGTATATACAATGTGATTACAAGGTATTTGGCAAACAGTGCTATGTCAAACCTCAGATTTCATATTAAATATATCTAAGTTTTCTAGAATGACAGAACTTTTGTCAGCTGTCAAAAACTGTGTCCTACTCTCAAGGAAATTTAAGTGAACATCTGCAGATAAGGCAGAGGCACTGTTGTTTTTCAAGTCCAATCAGAGTCTTATCTTCAAGGGCTCTGTCAAGAAACCTACCAGTGAACAATTTATCTAGTTTATTTTTTTAAATCAATCAATCTATCTATCTATCTATCTATCTATCTATCTATCTATCTATCTATCTATCTATCCATCTATCCATCCATTTTCTTTCTAGACAGGGTTCCTCTGTGTAATCCTGGATGTCCTGGAACTCTCTCTGTAGACCAGGCTGGCTTCAAACTCACAGAGATTTGCCTGCCTCTGCCTCCTGAGTTCTGGCACTAAAGGTGTGTACCACCATTGCCTTGCAAATTTACCTAGTTTTATTTTTTTTGGTTTTCGAGACAGGGTTTCTCTGTATTGTTTTGGAGGCTGTCCTGGAACTCGCTGTGTAGACCAGGCTGGCCTGGAACTAACAGAGATGCGCCTGCCTCTGCCTCCCAAGTCCTGGGATTAAAGGCGTGCGCCACCAATGCCCGGCTGGGATTTTTTAAAATGAAAACTAGAAGTTCATTTTAGCAATTATAAAACACCTTTCTTGCAAGGAGAGAGGAAAGTAGGGAGTGTGCATGACACCTATCAGCACCTCAGATTCTCAGTCTATTATGGAAATCAGAAATGATTCATTATCTTCCTCCTCTGACCTAGGCAAGCTCTATCATTTAACTACATTTCTAGCAACTACATTTGACTCTTAAAGAGTACCAAACACTTGGGAATTTGTTTTTCAAAGCCATTCCATTAATACAATAGATCTTCCTTGGGAGGGAAGAGGATCAAACGGTTGAGAGAATAACTGTTCTGATTTTTTTGTACCATTATAGCTGAGAATTGAAAGCAACTCTAAGGACTAAAGTTTACCCATCAAATACTTCTTTGATAGGAAAATATAAAGAGTAAACAGGGACTTCAGTCATACAGAGGTGCCAGCAATTGCTCTGTGTGCTCACCCTCGGTTCTGTAAGTCCTCTAAGTTTGAAGCATTCCATTCTGAGCCCTGTGGAGCCAAAAAGACAAGGTTAGTGAGTATTATCAAATAAACTAAACAGGGAGGATATTTGGAAAGGAACACTGTGGGGAAACAGTTTATGAAAAGTGACTCGTTCAACAGCATCTACTCAATGCCCCTAAGTACCAGGTACTTTATAACACCTAGTTTTATTAATGATAATGCAAAAAGTTATCTTTGTTTTTTGGGTTGGAGTGGTGAGTGTGTGCTCACATGTGAACAGACAAGTGCCACAGTGTCATGTGGACATCAGAGACGCCTTGCAAGAGTTGGTTCTTGTCCTCTACCACATGTGTTGTGGGGGTCAAATTCAGATTGTCAGGCTTGGGGTCAAGTGTCTTTACCTACTGAATCATTTTGCTTACTTGAGACCTTGAACTTCAAAACCTGTTGTTTTCATCTCCTATGGGTTGGGATTAAAGGGGTGCGCCAGTAAACCCAGTTTATATGGTGCTATGTTCAGGTTAGGCAAGGATTCCATCAATTGAGCTACATCTCTTGCTGTAATTTGGTTTTTTTTTACATTGTATTTTATTGTGTGTGTGTGTGTGTGTGTGTGTGTGTGTGTATGCAAATGTGTTGACCTCAGGTTGTTAGGTGTGGTAGCAAGGGCCTTTACCTCTGAGCTATCTTGCCAGCCCCTGACTTTTCCTTTTTGTTTTGTTTTGTTTTTTTTTTAAGAGAGAGGGTTTCTCTGTGTAACAGCTCTGGCTGTCCTGGAACTCATTTTGTAGATCAGGCTGGCCTTGAACTCACAGAGATCCACCTGCCTCCCCAGTGCTGGAATTAAAGGCGTGTGCCACCAGATTATGGCATATACTTAAATTTCAGGATAAAAAATTATGTGACAAAAGTGGCCCACTTAATAACTACCTCAATAGTACACTATTTCTCTGTACTACCAAGTATAACCAGCTTGTGGCTGAATTTTTATTTGAATGTTTAAAAATTTTTTTTAATGTACATTGGTGTTTGCCATGGAACTGGAGTCACAGACAGTTGTGAACTCCTATGTGGGTGCTGGGAATTGAACCCGAGTCCTCTGGAAGAGCATTTAGTGCTCTTAACCAATAAGCCATCTTTCCAGCCCCTGGATTTTTATTTGAAAAACTCTCTTCTAGAAAGGAGCTGCAATGTCAAATCTTGAAAAAGATAATCACTTTATTCATAAGCAAACTTACTCTGTATTCAATACTCTCATGTTTCCCTTGCTATGACAAAAGACCCTGCTTTTCTGCAAAAGGTCTATTCATGTATAGTCTTTGCCTCCAGGAGAGCTGTTGATACAAAAATCTGGTTGGGCAAAGACTTCCAGCTCAGATAAATTGTACAATCCTTTTTTTTTTTTTTTTTGAGACAGGGTTTCTCTGTATTGTTTTGAAGGCTGTCCTGGAACTCACAGAGATGCGCCTGCCTCTGCCTCCCGAGTGCTGGGATTAAAGGCGTGCGCCACCAACGCCCAACAAATTGTACAACCTTATAAGGATTTAGATGAATCTTTTTTCCTAATAGTAACCTGGCTTCCTACCAATCAACCTTTCCTTGTTATTGCAGATTTTCTTTGAACTATGTTTTAAACATTCCTTCTCCATATCAGCTGATACCTTTCTGAATAAACAGATCTCTGTGCAGTATAATGCAGAGCTGAACATTCTTCCAGAGGGAGGGGAATTGCTGCCTCTCCTTGCACAATCTGGTTGAGTTCCAGACCCAGCAACTATGCATGAAATGGGATCACTTTGAGAAAAGCAGCTCTGCAGCTTGAAACGAGGATAGATCTCTTTTCCCAATGTCAATTACTGGGAAAGTGTATACTCACTGGAGAGGAGAAAGGGGTTTGGACATAGGATATGTGGTACAAAACCAAGGAAAAGTCAGCAAAAGATATTTAGATACCATCTTCAAGCATTTATTTTGCATTTTGAATAAGAGTTAAAATTTATAATTCTAGCTGGGTGGTGGTGGCGCATGCCTTTAATCCTAGCATTCGGGAGGCAGAGGCAGGCGGATCCCTGTGAGTTCGTGGCCGGGCTGGACCGATAGCCTCCAAAACAATACAGAGAAACCCTGTCTCGTAAAAACCAAAAAAAAAAAAATTATAATTCTATTTGGAAGTTATTTTATTAAATAAGAAAATTATTTACACCTTTAATCCCAACACTCAGGAGGCAGATGCAGGCGAATCTCTGAGTTTGAGGTCAGCCTGAACTACAGAGAGAGTTTCAGAATAGCTGGGGCTACATAGAGAACCCTGTCTTAAAATAAAATGAAAAACAAAACAAAACAAAACCAAAATTACAAGCAGTAAGAACGCTCATACCACAAACATGTCCAAATTCATACACTGTACAAACATTACATATAATTTATGGGCTCAGCTGATAATGATGTGCCAATCAATTACAGGTTCATCAACTCTAACAAGTGTACCACTCTTTCATTTATTTAATTTTGCTTTTTTTTTTCCCTTCAAGACAGGGTTTCTATTCAGTCTTGGGTCTCCTGGAACTCATTCTGTAGACATACTGGCCTTGAACTCATGGAGATCTACCTGCCTCTGCCTCCCAACTCCCAAATATTGATATTAAAGGTGTGAGGAGCCACCACTGCCACGTCCAAATGTACTACTCTTGACAGGGTATGCTGATTATATGTCAGGCTATACATAATTCATAGCAGCTGAGAATACATGGAAATTTTAATCTTCTGCTTAACTTTCCTATGAATCTAAAGTATCTCTAAAATTAAAGTCCACATACTAGATGTATGTGTAAATGTAGTAATAAGATTAAAATATGACTAGGAAGCAATAACAAAAGATAATGATACTTTCTTGGGTAATGATTAAAAGTGATTTATTATCTTCTTTTTTTTTAAAGATTTATTTATTTATTATGAATACAACCATACTGCCTCCATGTATGTCTGCACATCCAGAAGAGGGCGCCAGATCTCATTACGGATGGTTGTGAGCCACCATGTGGTTGCTGGGGATTGAACTCAGGTTCTCTGGAAGAGCAGTCAGTGCTCTTAACCTCTGAGCCATCTCTCCAGCCCCGATTTATTATCTTCTAAAATTGAAAAAATTCTACAATGAACTTTAAGTATTTTACTTTTTATGTGTATTAATGTTTTGCCTATAACACATATTGTGCATCACTTGTGTGTCTGGTGGCCTTGGAAATCAGAAAAGGGCTTCAGATGCTCTGGAATTGGAGTTCTGGATGGCTATGACTATCATGTGGGTGCTTGGACTTATTTATTATGTAGTTTGGATGGACAACAAATTTGTGACAATCTTTCTGCCTCAGCTTTGGCAGTACTGGGATTACAGACATGAACTATCATGCGTAGTAAACATAAATTATTTTTGTAAAAAAAAAGTGAAGAAAGGATCATGAAATCTAAGAGGAATCTGTTGGTAGAAATACTCAACCACATTTGTTGGTGATTAGGGAGATATAATTGGGGGAAATTAGACTGTTATTCCTGCTTTCAGCAATATTAAAAATTGCTTATATACCATAAAATGTACCAGTTGAAGAAAGGGTAAAGAGGAGGCAGTTCTGAATTCTAGATGGAAGTGAGTAGTGGTAGAGACATAGGAAATATTTCTGCCTGGTACAAAACAGGCTGATCAATCAGAGAAAGTGGCAATAATTGGTATTTATCATGCCTGTGCCATTTATTTATTATTTATGTATTTATTTGAGACAGGTCTGGCTGACCTAGAACTATGTAGACCATGCTGTCCTCAAACTGATAGAGATCTATCTGTCTCTACCTCCTGAGTGCTGGGATTAAGGGTGTGCATCATGTTAGGCAACATGTGTGTGTATGTATGGTGCTGGCAATCAAACTCTGGGCCCAGCGCTGGAGAGAAAAGTTCCACATTTTTCTTATAGTATTGAAACCCACATTTAGGGCTGGGAATGTGGTTTAATGGTAGAGTCCTTGTCTACACAGGTCTCTATACTTGATCTCCAGTATCAAAGAAATAAGCAATGCTTGATGGTAAAGTGACTTCTAGTTTGCTCCTGATCCCCTTCTTCCTAGGGTATCATGGCTCCCAGGTTGAATTCAAACTCTCTATGCAACTGAGGACAACCTTGTCATGAGTACTGGAGTGTTACCATACCCAGCTTACATGGTGTTGGGATCAAACTCAGTACCACATGCATGTCAGGTAGATACTGTACCACCTGGGCTACATCTTCAGCTAGCTCTGGCCACTATCTAACATGAGCTCTTTTTGCTTACTAGAATTTGTCTTTCATAAAAGTTCAGTCATACTTCATGGAATCTGGGCAAAGACCATCTGAGTGAGTGGCTCCTAAGATTTCTACAGATAAGACAAGAATTCCAACAATGGAAGAGTGGGATATTTTTGAGACCTCATGAAAATACATACTAGAGACAACAAATCTTTATCCATAGAAAGGCCAGTACAATCTACATCCAGATATGGCAACACATATTAGCCAAGCGGTGGTGGCACATGCCTTTAATTGTAGAACTCCCTGCCCTGCCCCCGCCAAAACAGTAGAAAAGAAGATCCCCTGACGGTCACAGCTTTGCTTAGTAATTTCATAACGATTCACAGGCCATTTGAATTAAGCTACAGACAAATATGTTCTAAAATGTCAAGCTTTCACTGGTACCAAGTCTGACTAAATGGTAAAATAAACTTGTGAATGTTTAGAGTGAGGTAATAAAGTTTAGTCAGTTTCTGTGGGTCTATCCCTCTTCTCTCTGTACTCCTGGCTTCTAACCAGTTCAGTTCACAATGTGTTCATCAGAAAACAGAAGCAATACATTTCTGGATGAAGACAGTACTGGCCTCTCTACGGATAAGGATAAGAAGCTTTGGTAACACATTTGCCCAAAATGTATATGAAGTGGAAACACAATGATGTTTTAGCATTCTTTGCTTTTAAGTATTCTTGTTAACCTTGCTCCTACTACCATGTACACATGAAACTAGAATTCTTCAACCTTAGAGGCTTGCTGTCTAGTCTCTGTGTGTCTTCCTTGAGACAATTATAGGTCACTGAATGTTTGATAACTATGAAGAAAAATTTTTAGTCACTGACTTTTTGGTAACCATGAAAAGTAATTTGGGAGCCCCAAAATGCTTCGACATGGCTTCATGTTGTTTAAAAGCTGAGGGCTGAGGATATAGTTCAGTGGTGGAATATGTGCTTAACACGTGCAAGGGTTAGGATTTGATCTTGAGGGCTCCAGAAAATAACTAAGCAAATAAACCCAACAGACTTTCTGTTGTAAGTAGTCCCATCTGCTCAGATGAAATACATCTGGTTTTTTATACATTCAGGAGACTGAAAGGTGTGAAAACCATCCTATTTAGATATACTTTGTGAACCCATAGAAGACTAGCATATTTGACTCTAAGTACTAAAAAAATAAAAAGACAGATGAAATATTTAACAACCTAGAGGAAGAAAGCCCTGGTTTGTAGCATTTGTTAAATTCCTTGGTAAAAATATTACCCTCATACTCAGTTTTAATCCACTGAAAGAGGAACTGGGGCCAGGCAGTGGTGGCGCACGCCTTTAATCACAGCACTCGGGAGGCAGAGGCAGGCGGATCTCTGTGAGTTCGAGGCCAGCCTGGTCTACAGAGTGAGTTCCAGGACAGTCTCCAAAACAGTAGAGAAACCCTGTCTTGAAAAACCAAAACCAAAACCAAATCCAAAAAAGAACTGAGAAGAAATGAGCAGTAGTAAGCCATTATATAACATTTCTACCATACGATACATGTAAATAAACTTAAAAAGCACAGATATTACCAGTGTCAGTAAAGTAATGTAGCAAAATTTTTAGAAAGCAATGAGGCTTGAGTACGTATTGCCTATGCTTTTACTTCAGTTACATTAAAAAAATTTTTTAGATTTATTTATTTTATGTGTATGAGTGTCTGGCCTGCATGTATGCCTGTGAACCAGATGGATGCCTGGTGCCTGCAGAGGTCAGAAGGGGGCTTCAGATACATAGGAGACAGAGTTATGGACGGTTTTGAGTTACCATATGGGTGTTGGGAATTAAAACCAGGTCCTCTGCAAGAACAGTAAGTGCCTTTAACCACTGAGCCATCTCTTCAGTTCAGTTACATTTTATTTAAATATAGTAAAATAACAATTTTCTTAAGTCTGAAGCTAGTTTCAAAATACCACTTAAAGTGGCTTTAAAACTTACCAGGGCCGGGCGTTGGTGGCGCATGCCTTTAATCCCAGCACTCGGGAGGCAGAGGCAGGCGGATCTCTGTGAGTTTGAGGCCAGCCTGGTCTACAGAGCTAGTTCCAGGACAGCCTCCAAAACAATACAGAGAAACCGTGCCTCGAAAAACAAAACAAAACAAAACAAAAAAAACTTACCAGGAACACATGCTCAAATATCTGTGTAGGACTATCCATCTGACCAAGGATCACTATCATTTCATTATCTATGAATTCCTTGAATTCTCGCAAGTTGCACACCATCTGCATTTCCAACTCTGTACGTATCTGAAACAGAGGCAATGTAAAGTTCTTCTGCGTTTTCAATACCATTTTTATCTCCAAACCTATTGTTATTCCATTCCATTTCAACACTGAGGAATCAATGCTGCTTACCTCTTTGGATGTGATATTTTCCAAATCCTTTTGCATCATAATCTCCCTCAATTTGGTTTTAATAAGCCTTTCTGTTCGTTCACGTTCAGTTGGTCTGAGAATAGACAAGTAGTGTTTTTTCTTAAACATGAATTTAATCAAAGCAATTAATTCACCATTTGACTATGTTTCAAAACTACTTCTCTTACTCTCATATTTACATTGCAGAAGCATAGCAAATGAAAGTAATACCCAACTACACAGTGAATTTCAGGCCAATGTGGGTATTACATAATGAAACAATGTCTAAACCACAATCAAAACCAAACTAGCAACAAGAACATCTTCCCAAACTAAACCAACACCCCCCCAAAACCACATAGAACATAATAAACATGTAAAATCTACTTGAAGAGGTTCTATGTGCTTAAAAGTCTTTAAATACACCAAGAATATATAGCTCTAAGAAGAAGCAAAGACTAGTTATTGATGACCCACTAAATATAGTGTCATGTGGGGAGACTGGAAAGGTAGAGCCTCCCCTCCCCACCAAAAAAAAAATAAGAAGCAAAGATAACTGTGTATATCAAGTATATCTCATGCCCTTATCAAGAACGGCCAGATATCATCGCCTACTGAACTAGAATACTAATCTGGGTAGAATAGTGGTAAGACTTTCAAGAGAACCAGACCTTAAAATGCCATCCTATGCTGATCATTCATTGCTGTGGGCCTATAAGATAGGAAGGAGAATGGTCTGATCCAACCTCTTCCAACAAGGCAAGTTTTATTCTAAAATGGGTTGTAGGGGTCAACTATCTGGAATACTTTGGTCTGAAACACTTTTCCATTTCATGGCAACTCTAAGAATAGCTTTGTGAATTTTTTTTTTTTGAGCAAGGTCTTGCCATGTAGTCTAGGCTGACTTAGAACATTCAATCCTCCTGCTTCAGCTTTTCAAATACTGGGACTATAGATGTGCATCAGTGCCCTTTTGTTCCTGCTCATTTCTGTGAAATTTTAATACTAACTCTATATAGTTAAGGAGACAAACATGTTAAAAGATACACTGATAATCATGTATATTAGCAGGAAAATCAGACCACTCAGTCCAGCCCAATTATCTGCAGGACTATGTTGTTTTTGTTTTCTTTAAAATTATTCAAGGTCAGGTGTTGTGGCACATGCCTTTAGTCCTAGCATGCTGAGTTAGAGGCCAGCCTAGTCTACATAGTGATTTCTAGGATAGCCAGGGCTACATAGTGATATGTTGTCTCAGAAACAAAAAAGAAAATTACTCAGCTGGGCGGGAGTGGTGCATGCCTTAAGTCCCAGCACTCAGGAGACAGAGGCAGGTATCTCTGTGAGTTCAAGGCTAGAATGGTCTACAGTTTCAGGACAGCCACGGCTACAAAAAGAAACCGTCTTTAAAAACCAAAAAGAAAAACAAAAAGGAAAGAAAAGTGTAACTAGGTGCTTCTCTCTAGTGGCATGGTTCATATTATGGAAGATTTGAATACTTTCTGTTCCATCTTTGCCCCTACCTACTTAAGAAAGGTATCTGCTTTGCATCTCCTTATTTGGAAATGGACATGGCCTAAGCCTTCAGGCATCCTGCCTGATCCTGCTGCTTACAGTCTTATCACTGGGTATAAAAATAGCCTCTATAATCTCCAATTCTGTATGCTGCATCTCCACACACTCGGCGTGCCACGTTGCTTAGGCACTCTGCCTCTCATGAACTATGCAGAAAACCTGTGCTGCTCTTGCCAGGGCATTTCTGGCTTGAATAAGAGTGCAATTTTTATCTAGGCTTCATTGTTCTTGGACACAGTAACGTGGGAGGAAATGTGCAATGACAGTTTTCTACTGAAAACACGTATTGATAAAATAGATTTTAGCACCTGTGTGCATGCATGATTTCTTAGGTGTTTTCTTTCTGTCTTTTTTTTTTTTTTTGGTCCTTTACACTCTGAGGTGGAGTAGTTTGGGAGCAGACAGACCTAGGTTTAATCATAACCCTGATACTTACAGTTAATGTGACCTTGAACCAGGGTCCTTGTTTCTGAGCCTGGCAAGCATAACATTAGATGTACATTGGGGCACCATACATGTTCATGCCCTTCTTGGATTACAAATACAAACTGTTCACAAGAGAACATTGTAAGTTTTTTTGGCTTACATTTTTCCTGTATTCTCACTATTCTTTTATAGGTCTTTTTAGTTAACTTGGGTAGGAACAGGGCACAGAAAAAGAACTTGGTATACAAACATACTTTGTCTTCTATGATGTCACTGGAAAAAACATAAAATACAGAGAAAACAAAACTAAAAACCACTTTATCCAGATATAATCATGTCCTAGTTAGTTGTTTTGATGAAAACACCTAACCAGTGTTTCTCCAAAACAGTGAGTTTTGGAGAAAAGGGCTTATTTGGCTTACACTTCCACATCCTAGTCCATTACTGAAAGAAGCCAGGACAGAAACCCAAACACAGTAGGAACCTGGAGGCAGGAGCTGCTGTAGAGGCCATGGAAGAGTGCTGCTTACTGGCTTGCTCCTCATGGTTTACTCAAGTCTGTTTTCTTATAGAACTCAGGACCACCATCAGGGAGGAGACCCCCCCCCCACCAAACACACAATGGGCTGGGCCCTCACATCAATCACTAATTAAGAAAATGCCCTCAGGCTTGCTGACAGACTGATCTTATGGGGGCATTTTCTCAACTGAGGTACCATTCTCTCCAACAACTCTTTGTGTCAAGTTGACATAAAAGTAGCCTGCACATTAGTTCTGATATTTGGGCATATAGTTTTCATTTATTCCATTTCTATTAAATGTATCTTAAAACTAAGAACAAATACCCAGTGAGTATCTACTAGGTTTCAGGAGCTGTACTTTTTTTGGTTTTGCTTAGGGATGTAAAGCAATTGCTTCTTTTGTGTTACAGATCCAACATCTCAAATAAAATCAAAATTAGGAAGGAAAAACAATAGTTTACTTATTTTAAGATATTTATTCTTTATTTTGAGATGGAGTTGGTCCTATTATTTGTAGTCAATACTGGTTTAAACTTGAAACTCTCCTGCCTCAGTCTCAAAAGTGTGCTGTGTGCTAATATCCCTGGCTAGGAAGGATTTTTTTCCTCTAAGCATGGTTTGGGATATGCTTTTCTGAGCTAGATGAAACATCCATCACTCTGAAATCCACCAACCAGCTTCACAATATGAAATCATCAAGATCATTTTCGATAGATTTGCATCCTTTTGTAACTATGGGATCTTGAAAGGATTAAGCCTGCTGGAAAGGCACTGGAACTAACAACTCTGTAAAAAAAAGACTGATGATGTTTTGCCTACTTCTTGAACTAAAATAAAGCCATAACTCAACAGAAGTAAATTCAACTCAGTGTTCTTTTTAATAGATTGGAAACATCTGTCTTCCCTTGTTCCTTTCTGAGACAGGGTCTCACTATGTAGCTCTGGAAGGCTTGGAACTCACTCTGTAGACCAGGCTGGCCTTGAAGAGACGAACTTGCCTCTGTTTCCTGAGTGCTGGGATTAAAGGTGAGCATCCTCCCACCCATGCCCTTTAAAGAGTAGTTTCTACTGGTTACATCAGTAAATGAAAAAAGAGAACACATCAACTATTGTTCCTGTCCTGGAATTTTCTCTGTAGACCAGGCTAGCCTCAAACTCACAAAGATCCACCTGCCTCTACCTCCCAAATGCTGGGATCAAAGGCGTGTACTACCACTGCCTGGCTTTTTTAATTTTATGTGCATTGGTGTGTTGCCTGCATGAATGTCGGTGTGAAGGTGTTGGATCCCTGGAAAAGTAGTTATAGACAGTTGTGAGCTGCCATGTGGGTGTGGAAATTGAACAGCCAATGCTCTTATCCACAAAGCCATCTCTCAGATTTTTATAGCATTACATTTTTGATTGCAGACACTCTATTCTGTCCAAGAGTGAAATTCCTCAGGCTTTTGTAGGAAACAGAAGGACCTACATTATGACAGAAGTGTAATCTACATTGCAACTACTGTCAGTGGGGCAGGGTTAGTTCCTAAGGAATATGCTGCCTAGGACACAAGAGAGGGCTTCCACAATCCTCAGCAAGTCAACTTACATGTCTGTGAAGAGGGCTGGAGAGTCAGGCCGATGAGACTGTACATCCTGCATAGCATTCCATTCATTGACGGAGGATTGATCTGAGTTGATATGACTCTCATAATAACTCACCCAAGTGAGAAAAAGGCTGCCTGGATAATAGTTATGCATTCTGGCCACTTCACAAGCCTTGTGCAAGCTCTGTAGTGCAGACCTGAAAGATAGGCAAAGAAATGAGACTATAGAACTATGGGATGCCAAAAGGATAAAAACCACATTTATCTCAAACTCCTCTAACTTTTGAATTCTACAGAGTATTATTTTCTGTAGAACTTCCTCTCTCCCCAGAAGTCAGATTCTCTGATTCTGATGCATCCTCAAGGCAAGGTGTTGGGGGAGGGGAAGAGCACTTAGTCAAGGAACCTATGGCCTTATGACCTTATCCACGGACTCATGTTGTGACTATGTCATTAGTAAACAGAAATCTCAACAATTAACTATTCAGATTTTGTTTCCCTTTGGCACAGAATCATGTGATAGCTTATCCTCTACGTCCTTACAGGCTCCACAAAGATCATATAGGCAGATGCCCCTAAGCCATGAGGCTATGTTCTCTGATGTCCAGGAAGTACTGACCTAATGGTATTATCATTCTTGCTACCTTAGTCTCCTAGTTCTTTAAACTATTTATTCATTCACACGAGTTACTTTCTAAGAATAGCTCTGGCTATCCTGAGACTAAATTAAACCTTCTGACTCTGAGCTCAGAAACCCAAGAAGGGTAAACAAAACTTAAAGCTATGTTTTTTTTTCTATTTACCTAAGCTAAAGCCAGATTGCTAGAAAATAAACAAAAGACAAACAAAAGAAATGCTAGGAAGTAACTTACACAAGCCCAAGGACCATTCTACATTTTGTTTATTGGTCTGCCTCCAGTGCTTAAAGAGGCATAGATTGTAGCTAGAGCTCTGAAGGAAAACTTTTCTTTATAACATTTATTATTTTTAAAATAATTTTATGTGTATGAATGTTTTGACCGCATGTATGTCTGTGTACCATATGTATGCCTGGTGCCCAAGTGGTTAGAAGGAGAAGGATCCCTTGGAACTGTAGTTACAGAAGAGTGTGAGCCACAATTTGAGGGTTAGAAATTGAACTTGAGGTCTCTGCAAGAACCAGTATTTTTAACTGCTGAGTCAACGTTCTAGTAACTATCATTAAAAAAAAAAATATTTGTGTGTGAGTGGGTGCACATGCCGCAGTAGCATACATATGGGGGCCAGAGGTAAATTTTTGGGGCATTAGCTCTTTCTTCCACCAGGTGTATCCTGGAAGCCAAACTCAGGCTGTCAGTCTTGGTGGTCAGTGCCTTTACCTGCTAAGCCATTTCAAATGATCTTATATATATTTTGTTAAGAATACCCTTTATTCCTCCTCCTTAAGAAAAGTGATCTATGCTCATTTAAAAAAAGTCCTAGTTGGCCAGGCATAGTGGAATCTGCCTTTAATCTCAGCACTTGGGAGGCAGAAACAGGTAGATGGACCTCGGTTGAGTTTAAGGTCAACAGACTGAGTTCCAGGACAGTCAGAGCTATGTAGAGAGATCCTGTCTCAAAAAAAAACCAAAACTAAAACGAAAATCTAACAAATTGTATGGTGCTTGTGTAGCATGCAGGAGGAACTAGGTCACTTACAGTGCCACAATAAATAGACAAAATAAATGTCAGAAATATCATGTAATCCTAGCATCACTATTCAAGCTCAGGGCTACTCTTTCCAATTCCTTGGTCTATTTGCAGGCCATAATAAAAACAGTATGGCTGTATTATGCATTTATTCATAATACACTTGCTCTTAGAATACACTTATGCATATTTACTTGTTCTTTTATTTTATAGTCTGCCATTAACATCTGATTTCAATATTCTCCAACTACATTGTTTTTTTTTTTTTTTGGAGACAGGTTCTCATGTATTCTAGATCTCGATCTAACTATATAGTTCACTATGGCCTTGAACTTAGAATTAATTTATCCTACTGTCTTCACCCTGCCATTCCCTGAATCCTGAGAATAAATGTTATGTGCTACAATGCTCAGTTTTAACCAGATCATTTCCTTCCTTCCTTCCTTCCTTCCTTCCTTCCTTCCTTCCTTCCTTCCTTCCTTCCTTGTTTTGGGTTTTTGAGACAGGGTTTCTCTGTGTAACAGCCTTGGCCGTCCTGGAACTCACTCTGTAGACCAGGCTGGTCTCCAACTCACTGAGATTCACCTGTCTCTGCATCCCAAGTGCTGGGATTAAAAGCATGTGTCACCATGGCCCAGCGAACCAGATCACTTTTTAATCATTAAAACTTAATGGTTGTTTAATAGTCATTTATATGCACATGCCAGATTTAAGTGATTTCCTATTTTTCAAACATTTAAATTCTATTGTTATTGTTAGAATGCCAACAAACATTTCTTACATCTAAAATATTTGTATATCCATTTTTATAATCTCAGTAAATTCTTAGAATTACTAGGTTAAAAATGATAAGGAATATTGGCAAAATGCTCTCCGGAAAGGCTACTCCAGTTTATTCTTCTACTAATGGTTGAATCTGTTCTTTAAGCCCATGTCAAGTCTATATCATATAAACTTTTTGAAAAACAGCTCATTGAATTAGGCTTTTTTGAGGGGGACAGTTGTTTGGCTTGTTTGTTTTTTCGAGACAGGATTTCTTTGTGTAGTTCTGCCTGTCCCAGAACTCACTCTTGTAGACCAGGCTGGCCTCGAACTCACTGAGATTCGCCTGCCTCTGCCTCCCGAGTGCTGGGATTAAAAGAGCAAGGCACCAATGTTCGGCTTGAATTAGTTTTTAAAAACTGTATTTATTCATTTTATTTAATGTGTTGAGTGTTTTGCCTGTACCATGTGCATGCAGGGAGGTGAGAAGAGGGAGTTGGATAGCCTGCAACTAGAAATACAGATGGTATGAAGCACCGTGTGGCTGCTGAGAATTGAGCCTGGGTCTTCTACAAGAGCAACGAGTGCTCTTAACTGGATGAGCCATCTCTCCAAGCTCATAATTTTTTTCTTAACACCAATTTAGTTAAGAGTAATCCACCAGTTAGTTACTTTTTTTTTTAAGTGAGAAGTTTTATTAGAAAGGAGAGGGAACGGGAAGGAAGAGAAAAGAGGTAAAGAGACACAGAGACAGAGAGAGGACAGAAGAGAAGAGGAAGACAGGAATAAGTCCTGTTTGCCCCAAGGGAAGAGAGGGAAAGAGAGAAAGAGAGTTAACTTTTAATTATGTAAGATAAATTCTTTTTTAAAGACAATGTTTCTAAAAAAAAAAAAAAAAGACAATGTTGTAGAGGACCTGAGTTGAATTCCTAGCACCCACATGGTGGCTCACAATGACCAATAACTCCAGGTCCAGGGGATCCAACACATCCTTCTAGTCTCCTTGGGCCATGGTGCGTATGGCGCACACAAACTTATGCAGGCACACACATACACATATACATAAAAATAATAAATAAATATAAAACAAAGTTGTAGACTTTCAAAAAGTATTTCAAAGATATAATCTCTGGTTTTATTTCTAGAGTGCGTATGTGTGGTAGATACATGAGTACACATTTTGTGGATTTATGTGGGTACTTGCGTATGTGAAGACAGATGTCAATGTTAGGTGTCTTCCTCAATCCCTTTCCTCATTTTTTTTGAGACAGAATTTCTCATTGAGCCTGGAGCTAATCAATTTGGCTAGGCTAGCTGGATAATGAGCTTCAGATATTTGCCTGTCTTTAGCTATTTTTTCCTTTCTTTTTTAAAGTAGATACTGCATATTGAATAAGTCTCCATACTTGCACAGTAAGCCATCTGTTCAGTCAGGTAAGTGTTTCCTATTACTCAAAATAGACAAATGCTCAGAGAATTTCAGTTTCACTCCAGTGATTCCATACATTTGGAAATTCATGCTTTATAATCATACCTCACAGAGTCTGCTGCAACTGCCCTAAAATACACTCAGTGTTAGTTGCTTCAAAAACAACGACTGCATGCAGGAGTGGAGGTTACAGTCACTAGGGTCCAGCTAGGAAAACCCCTGGTCTAAACACTGCTTTGATCTGCATCTTTAGTACTTCTCTCCTATGACTTTCAATTAAATATTTTTAAAAAGTTAATAGAACTATGACTAGTCAGTTTACTTGAAACAACAGTTCTTGATCTGAGGTTATTACTTGAATTAAAGTTGCTTTGTCCTCAAAATAGATCTGAAAACACTGCCATTCTACTATACCCACTGGAATTCACCTGTGAGCTATGTTCTAAATCTATAAATGTGGTCTAATCTCACCTAAAACTCTGTCCCACCTTAATTACTGCATAAGAAAGTTAACTGTTCAGTGACAATGAGGATTCTATACATCTAAACCCTATCACTTCTGTTATTCAGCTTTAGATTTTTCCAGACTTATTTCACTTCTTGTTTTGCTTGCCTTATCTCCATGGGGGACTTTTAATATAGAACAGGCAGTAGAATGAGAAGCAGAAGTTTATTTATTATTTATTTGTTATGTGTGTGTGCGTGGTCTGAGTGTTTGTGTGTGAACAGATTTGTGTGGGCGCATGTATGTGTGTGTTTCGGTAGGTCAGAGGTCAATGTTGTATGTCTTCTTCAGTTGCTGTCCACCTAATTATTTGACATAAGGTCTCATTGAATCTGGATATCACTGACTCAGCTACACTGGTGGGCTAGCAATTCCAGGGATTTGCCTGTCCCCCATTTCTTTTCTTCCCTAATTTCCTGCGACATGGATGTACAGATGAGCACTGCTGTGCCTGGCTTTTTACATAGGCATTAGGGATCTGAGTTTAGACCCTCAGGTTTGCATGACACTTTACTGATTGAACTATTTCAGTCCACAGAAACTAAAGACTACTGAGCCAAAAGTCTCATTATTCCCTGTTTATAGTAGATCATTTCCTAGATAAGTGAACAAGAGTCTATTCTATCTAATTAAACAAGATACTCTTGGGCCAGTTATGTAACCCTTGAGATGCCTCAGTTCTTTCAGCCACAACAGGGTGTTAACAACACTACCGGTGTACTGATTAAATATAAGCCATGTAAAGCATCCAGAATGCAGGGAATAACTTAAAAGTGTTAGTATATGTGTGGTTATTAACAACAGTTTCTTTAGGCTTTATTTGCAGCACACAAACAACTGCCAGTATTTTAAAAGGAAATACATCTATCTATAATGTAACTTTGTCAAGGCTATCTTTGATTATCTTAGGAAACTAAAAGCTAGTACATAGCAGTAGACTGTATTGACTTGGCTCTCACAATAAGCATGGTCAGTGTGAAAAACAGTTCTAACAGGCTCTCTAACCAATTAGCATTTCTTCTAGAGTCCAATACTACCTCTGGATTTCACTTGTTCACCAATGCACAAAGCTTTCCTCTGTGACAACTTAAAAACTGTGTTTCTAGGCCACCTTTAATCATGGTTACCAAGCAAACAGATTGCACACACATACATAAATCCTCTACATATACAGTATGTATATGAATAGTGAATTGTATCATTTCAAATTCTACTTCTCTACAAGGCATTATTTTAATAACATTAAAGAACTTTTTTGTAGAGCCACTTTAAAAAACAACCCTGTTTTACAGAGATATTGAAAGTCATCTTACCACATTGCTTGCACAGACACAGGTTTGAATATGTGCACTCTGTTATCTGTTGATACGCTGAATCCACTAAGAGCAAAAGAAAACAGACAAAGTCCACAAATAAGGGTCATGTATTTCTAGTTCGATACACCAGCTGACTGATTAAATAGAAGAAATAATCAGTATGTCATCTAGACGTTAACTAGACGTAGGATGTTACTGAAAAGTTCCAATGTGGCCGCTGAGAGGACAATCAGTCTTCTCTAGGGATGAGGATTACTTTCTGGGTAATCCAATTCCAAGTGGTTATCCCTAAACACATACACATATGAGCAACACTAAATGGACTCAACAAGCTGTGCCTATATGTACATATGCATAAATATGAAATAATAATGATGAAATATCATGAATTAGAGAGAGAGTGGGGGAACATACAGGAGCTGGGGAGAGGGTCAGAATTATAGAAATACAGTAGTCATGTATAAAATTCTCAAAAATAAATTTAAATAAAGAAAAGGGTCAACAAATTGATTTTATCTACTAGGCAAAATTAAGGTGTTCTAATGTATATTTCTAGTTGGAAGTCTTTTGATTCATAGCAAACTTGACCTGGATTTTATAAATTGGAGTAAACATTTCAGTCTCTTGGGAACACATTCTAAAAACACCAGGAGGTGGGGGTGGCTGACTGGAAGGAACTGGCTCAGGAAAGGGTTACACAGCAGGCAGACAGCTGGCAGAAGTCATAGAGGTTATTTGAAAGAGAACACATCATCCTCTGGGAGAACACTGCAAGAGCAGTTCCACATGTGCACACTAAAGGGTGAGCCAACAAACAAACTCCATCTTCTTTGTCTGGCTTCCTACCATAGTCAGCTCAGAAGAACAGAGTGAGAGACCCTGGCAAGTTGTATTTTATCTCTTGACAAAACAGCAGTTTAAAAGGCCTCATCAGCTGCTGGCATGTCACTTCAGTTGGACACACTGGGCCTTCCATTCAGCTGAATCAATGAGCCACTGAGACTAAGATAGAACCACACCCCTTGGCTTTCTGTAGAATGGGGGAAAAGGTAAAGTTCTTACCCATCACCATCCAAATGAATTAGGGTATCACTCCAGAGAGGCAAGACTAAGCCCATGGTACAAGTGCTACTGTAAGACAAGAAATAATCATTAAGTTACTTCCTGTTATTCTAGGAAGTAATCATCATTTATTAACTTTTAACATGTGGGATAAACCTCCAAGAAATAAATGGTGTCATAAGTGCAGAGAAATTTCTCTCACTTTACTATTAATCCCATACATGTTCTCAGGATTACTTTAAAAAACATGGCCGGTCAAACCTTATCTATTTAACAAACAAACAAACAAACAAACAAACAAACAAAAAAACTTATTGACTGAACTCCTGTATTGTCTTATTAAGTAGCTACTATCTTAAAAAAATCCAAGTAATCACTGCTGACTTGAATTTGGTAGGTCTCAGTCCAGGACACAACTCAATTTTTTCAGGGGTCAGGAGACACGAACAAAGTTTCACACAGCCCAGGCTGGCCTTGAACTCCTGATCCTCCTACCTTCACCTCCCAAGTATTGGGATTATAGGTGTGCATCACCACACCTGCCCTTAAGGACTAGTTCTAATGTCAAGAAATACTGCTAGTTTCTCAAGATCTTGGAATAAATGATTTGTTCAGTTCTAAGATTTAATGGAAACTAGGAATACCCAGTCTTAAAAGGAAAGGACTTTAAAAATGTACAGAAGTAATAGACATGGACTGTTATCAAGTTAGAGAAATAAAAAAATATAATTTAAATGAAAGAGTACTTAGTCTCGTGTGTGTATATGTGTTTAAATGAGATTTTAAAAACTATATTTTATGTGTATGCTACTTGCATATATTTCTGTGGAAGAGGGGAGGATGATATAATTATATCATAATTTAAAAATATACCACATAATAGCTCGTAACTGTTCATAATTCTAATCCCAGAGGATAAAGCTAGGCATGGTGACACTAGTCTATGGGAGGCTGAGGCAGGAGACTGTGAGCTCAAGGTCAGTCTGAGTTAGTGCACTTCAGGCGTTGGCTTATATAGAGGCACCTTATTCCCCCTGCCTTCCCACCCCCTGCCAAAACAAAACAAAAAACAGAAGGAGAAAACACAAATATTTAAGATCTCTCTTTCAAAGTTAATCAAGGAATCAGGAGACATATAATCAAAAACAAGTGCACCAAACTCTGATGTATTCAATTTCACAAAAAGTATGCTACTGGAATTAAAGACCCATGAAGAGTAGGTGATTTCAACCCATTTCTGCAATAGACAGGTCATCTGGACAAAAAACAAACAGAGAAACATCAGAATTGCATGACATTACACATCAAAAGGACTTAACAGTATCTATAGAAGAAAGTCCCACCCAAATTCTAGCAGCCCACAAAAGCTTCTCCAAAACAGACCACATCCTGCTACACAAATAAATCTTAATAAGTTCCGAAAAACCGAAGCAGTGTCATGTACCCAATTTGACCATAATGAAGTAAAACTTAAATAAGTAGCAAACAAATCTCTACTAAATAAACAAACTCGTGGAAATTAACCAACTAATTACTGAATGATCAAAGAAGATTTAAAATCATTAAAGTAAAATAATGCTAATACATCACACTATAGAATTGAAGTCAAATATTAACCAAGAGTAGGTGTTTTAATGTATCTGAAAGGGATGTGGGGTGTTAGGCAGGCAGCATGATACAAATGATTTAAAAGTACCAGGAATACCAATGAAAACTGGAAACTGCCGCTGACCTAGGAATGTTAGTGCTTGGCTGTTCTCTACACTTAACTAGACTGTTACTTAACACTCTACTATTATGTGAGTTCCGGGTTAGCCAGGGATACATACCCTATTTCCAAAAAAGCTATAACAACAAATCCAAAACCCTAACCATCTAAAATCAAAATAGAAAACAACAACAATAAACCAAAACCAGAGAGATCTCTCATTGTTTAATAGTGCTTGTTCTTGCAGAGAACTTGAGTTCAGGTCCCAGCATCCATGTCAGGTAGTTCACAACTGCCTGTAACTCAGCTCCAGGAGATACAGCATTCTTCTGGCCTACATGGGCACTTGCATGCTTAGAGTGTTTGTGCATGCATGTGTTTGGACACACACTTTTTTTTTGAGACAAAGTCTGGCTGGCTTGGAACTCTCTACGGAGACTAGACTGGGCTCAAATTCAAAGAGATTCACTTATTCTACATCCCAAATGCTGGGGTTAAAGGTTTGCACCATCAAGCACTTTGGGAGGGTGGGGGGTGGGGGATGTGGGTGGAGAAGGGGTGAGGTCATGAGTGCTAGAAAGAGCTCTCTTGTACACACACACACACACACACACACACATACACACACATACACACATACATACAACTAAACAAACAACAACAAAAACCCAGAGTTGGATATGGTGACATACACATATAATTCCATCACTCAGGATGCTGAGGCAGGAGAATTTTGAGTTCAAGGAAATCCCGGGCTTCATAATGAGAATCTTTCTCCAGGGGGGGAAAAAGCCAAGGAGCAATAAACAATCACCAGACCACAGAGCTCTGCTATTTTATAGCCTGAAACACATGTATTATATATTTTGAAAAACAAGGTTATACAGTATTATGAGGATACTTCGTAATTTAAACTATAATACAGTTCTCAAGCTAAATGAATTGACTATATCAATAACTTGTATTTATCAAACAATCTGGCTTCTACTTTGACTAAATACTGTCTTTTTGGTTTGGCTTTTCAAGACAGTTTCTCTATTTAACAGCTTTGACTGTCCTGGGACTCACTTTGTATACCAGGCTGACCTTGAACTCATCCAGATCCACCTGCCCCTGCCTGCTGAGTGCTGGAACTAATGGCGTGCACCACCATTACCAGGCCAACTTAATATTGTTTTAAAGAATTATGTTTTCATATTTAGATATATGATGCACATTCCTTTAAAAGTAATTGAGAGTAACTGAGCACAAGTATTCTGAAGTCAAAGCCTTTCTTTTACTGTTCAATAGGCTCACTCATATAGCAGACATGTAAGATTTTATAATGCTAGGCTTACTGAAAAGAAACTAGTTTCTAGCTCTTGATGTCCTAGTTTGTTTTGAGACACTGAAATTTTGTCATTGCAATGGCATCTGTCAGTATGACCCAGACAGGACTAATAGAACAAACTGATGTGATTTGCTGAGGATAAATTATCAGGTACTGATGGGGGAAGTCCTGTGTATATGTCAATAAAGCACTGTTGGCCAATAGGGAAGCAAGATAGGTGGGACTAGGAGTCCAGGAGGACTCTGGGTAGGAGAAACATAGGGAGTCAAGATGTAACCACCATAGGGGTAAGAACCCTGGAAAATTTTCTCTGGTAAGAGAAATACTTAGATTAACAATTACGGGGTAAATACTTAAGTCAGAGCTAGCCAGTAAGAAACAAACAAGACTAACAGCTTCATAATTAATACAGTGTCTTGTGTGTTATTTGGGGACTACAACGCAGCAGAGCCCAGGCAACTGGCGGGGGGCGGGGGCGAGGGGGGGGGAGACACCAAGTGGCAGACAAGGAAAAGGCCTCTCTCTACAAATGGTGATCAGGAGTGGGATCATTGAATTTCCACGTAGAATGACAAAATCTTTAAAGGAATTTTAGAAACAAAAGAACAGAGAAAAGCATGGGTTCTTGGTAGCAGCATTTTTCTCAGGTGGGCTCTGTTTTGCTAGTGACAAGCAGAGACTCATGCACACGCAGCTCACTTAAGGGAGTCTTCCTGACTCAGTATAAGCAAAAAAAAAAAAAAGTTCTTTTAAGAGCCTCTGCTAACGATTGAAAGGTGTGTATGTATAGCTGGAAGTAGCAGTGACCACATCTCCAAGCCGGCAGCTTTTGCTGGATGTCAGTATAGACTGAGGCGATGAGCTGAAATCACACGCCCACCATCTTGGAAAAATTGCAGTTTAAACAGCCACGGTTTTAACAGATGAGACACGTGGCCAGAAAAACACAAAGATTTACAGTAAAGTCAAACTTGGATGAAGAAAAACCTCTAAAGGTTTACAGTATGTTTAAAAATATACATAAGATTGAGAGAGAAAAAGAAACGGCATAGTGGTAAATAAATAGAGAAGCTGGCTGTGGTGGCGCACACCGGTAGGATTTGCTGCAGAGGCAGAGGCAGGCGGATTTCCAAAGAGAAACCCTGTCTCAGAGAGAAATAAATAAAAGTAAAAGAAATAGAATAATAATAATAGATAAATAAATAAGCCACGTAAAGATGGAAAATACACAGAGAGTCTGGATACTGTATGCTATTGTGCTTTTCAGCCTTTTGATTGCTCAGGAAGGAACAACTGCTAAAGTACACTTGATTATAAATGCTGCTGAATTAATCCAACTTATATCTTTTAAAAATGCCTGACTTCAAAATTTAAGTATAAGGATATGGTACTTTGGAAAAGAGTTTTTGTTTGTTTCTACAGAAAATGAAAAGCTGAGGATTCCTTCCAGGCTTCTGTGGTTTGATGAACCAAGACCCCCCGGAAGCAATGGCTCAAGTGATTCAACATCTAAAACAGCTAAGATGATGGAGCCCTACAAACCCTGAAAATAAGGATTTATACAGGTTTCTGAGTTTTGTCATGATCCCCATGGTGTGAACAGCGCCCCCTTCCAGCACGAAGCAGTTTGGAATGAGCAATGTCCAAATCCCCATATTGTTTATAAATCTTTGTTTTCATTTGAATGGGGTTGTTTATAATTGATTAATGATCACAACCAATCTCTTTTTAAAGAAAAAAGGGGATTATGGTATGAAAATGAGTACTTTGTATTGGTATGGTTTTTCATTTGTTGATACAAATTCAAGGTCAATTTTGTGATATGTATATTTCTTCTCTTGATTAAGTACTGTGTTTGTACTAATCTTTTAAAACACAATGCATAATTAAATACAGATTACAGATAGTTACTTATAATAGTCAGAACTTATAGTTAGGTAAGTTAGGTTTTCTAGATATACAGAAATATATTTGACATAGATAGACTGTCTTCAAACCTTTCAAAGACCTTCAGAAAATGGCATTTAAAATGGTTTAGGGTTTTTCTTGACAATGAGAAATGTCTGCTCCTGGCAGTACCAATTACGTCTGAGAGGAAGATGGGCATCGAAGAAACTTGTTATAGAGTTTGCTTTCAACATGGCAAGATTAGCCATTTGGACAAGAAACTGCTCTTGCCTGGACTGCTTGACTGTTGCTGTATAATGTGGACATGCAGGACCCACAGGAAAGTGACTGCTGAACTCAAATAGTCCTTCAGGGTTACTGCTTCATGGAAGAGTCTAGGAGACTTTCTACAGGACACAGAAAAATGACTGACAGACTGCTGATGCAGATGGACAGTTTGAAATTTCCTGCTTTGCTAAGAAATCTTCTGGACACATTGTGGCCTATGGGCTGAAGATGGATGCCCCAATGTTACAGAGGAACTTCGGGTGACTGTCCAGGAAGTAAGATGCCTCTGTCAATCCTAGTGTTTAATGTATTATCCTTCTGTGGTCTTTGATGGAGTTGAAGTCAGATAGTTATAATTATAGTTTTCCTTAGTTATGATAAAAGATAAGCTACATATAGAACTTTGGACTCACAAGGATGGGATGGATGATATTTTCTTTAAATCTTGCTAAATGTTGATAGACAAAATTTTGTAACTATGTTCTTACTTGATAACTGTTCTGTTATATATAATTTGACTATGTTAAAGTTAAGACCTTTCCTTTGTTTAGACAGAAAAGAGGAGATGATGGGGGAAGTCCTGTGTATACGTCAATAAAGCACTGTTGGCCAATAGGGAAGCAAGATAGGTGGGACTAGGAGTCGAGCAGAACTCTGGGAAGGAGAAACACAGGAGTCAAGATGTAACCACCATAGGGGTAAGAAGCCCGGAAACTTTTCTCCGGTAAGAGAAATACTTAGATTGGCAGTTATGGGGTAAATACTTAAGTCAGAGATAGCCAGTAAGAAACAAGCAAACGGCCAACAGCTTCATAATTAATACAGTTTCTTGTGTGTTATTTGGGGACTACAATGCGGCAGAGCCCAGGCGACTGGTGGGGGGGGGACACCAAGTGGCAGACAAGGAAAAGGCCTCTCTCTACAAGGTACCCATGGCAAGTGTCCACCTAGCCATCTGATGGCTCATGCTGTGGAGTCAGAATCTGAGTTACTGCCTTCAGTCTCCAGGGGAAGCCTCAGCTCAAGTTTTCATGCAGTTCTAGTTTCTATTCACAGGGTTTTCTTTCTTTTCTTTCTTTCTTTTTTTTTTTGAGACAGAGTTTCTCTTTGTAGCCCTGGCTGTCCTGGAACTCGCTCTGTAGACCAGGCTGGCCTCAAACTCAGAGATCCTCTGCCTCTACCTCCAGAGTGCTGGGACTAAAGGTGTGTGTCACCAAGCCTAGCATCTATAGGGTTTTCAAAGGAGGGGTCAGGGGGAACTAAGCAAAGGAAATATGGCCACAGTAAGCTTGTCTAACTGAATTTTCCACAATAATGCAAATATTCTGTACGCATGTACTGCGCCATATGGGAGCTATTAATCATACATGATTAGTAAGTATATGAAATGTGACTAGTTATGAATAAGAATTTCCTTACATATCATTATTTTAGTCTTTATTTATTTAAATAGCTACAGGTGTCTAGTGGAAATATACTAGACACTACAGGTCCAAACAGGTAAAAGTCCAAATCAGAGGTCATAAAATTCCAATATGGAAACACAGGTAGTTTCCCACTTCTTCCTCCTTGAGACAATCTTGATACATATAGCCCTAGATGGTCTGAAACTTACTACATAATTCAGGCTGGCCTCAACTTCTTGGTATTTCTCTTGACTCTGCCTCAGGAGTGCTGCAATTTTGGAGTATGCCACTACTGTCACAAAACAAGTATTTTATTACTAAAAGGCCTGTTACTTAGGGAAAATATCAGAAGTTAGACTGCAAGAGGAAGTGGTCATAAAGCCTCTGTAAATTCAGAACATATAACTAAATGCTGTAACCAGTATACAAGTTCACAACTCTGGCCTTGTGATTTTTATGAACTCACAAGTCATTTCCCAACTTGACATCTGCTTTTTTTTTTTAAATCAACTACATAAACCTGGGAAGAAGGAATAAAATTCAATTGAATAATTATCTTGATTGGTTTATCTGTCAGCTTGCCTATGGGGGCATTTTCTAGATTGCTAATTGATGCCATCTGATGGTGGGCAGTGTCATCCCTAACATGTGGGCCTGGGCTGCATAAGGTAGCTAAATGTGAGCCTGGGGGCAAGCAAGTAAGAATCATTCTTCTGCGGCCTCTGCTCCAGTTCCTGACTCCGGGTTCCTGCCTTGACTCCCTTGATGTTGGCCTATAACCTGTAAGCTGAAATCTTTCCTCCCCAAGTTGTTTTTGTTTGTTTTTAATCATTTTATTTTGTATGCATAGAGTAGCATGTTGGAGGTTAGAAGAGGACAACTCAAGGGAGTTGGTTCTCCCCACTATGTGGGTCTCAGGAACCTGAATTTGGGTTGTCAGGCTTGGCAGTACGTGCATTTACCCACTCAGCCATTTCACCAAGTTTGTTTTAGTCAGTGCTTTATCACAGCAACACAAAGCAAACCAACACAACGTCTATGTAAAACTAGGGTAAAGGCTGGTTTTGGAAACTTTCTAGTGATACTGGGATCTCCCTGCCTCTCTCTACAAAAACAGGACAATCAGACTCACTGTCATCTATAACCCTTCCTCCAAATCCAGGGCTTTGGGCTTGACAGCAATTCCTCTACAAACCTTCTCCTACTCTCCTCCACTTTTGGTGGACAAATTCCCCCAGGCCTGGGTCACATCCATAGTGACTGTACAGCTTCATTCTAGTTCTGAACCAGGAAGTCATGGTTTGAGACATCTGGCAGGATTTCCTGAGGCTTATTATCTCAGAGTGTAAAGATCTGCTTAGCAGCCACATTCCACAGTCTTCTCAAAGGTTTCTCAGAAAGAGTCGGGAAACAGAAAAGCCTTAAGGATACAACCCCTCCCAAATAACAACAACAACAACAAGAATCTAGGTTATTTTAGAGATATCTTTAATTACAGGAGGCAAAGTACCATTGAACCCAGGACCATTGGTACACTGGCACATTACCAACAAAGGCAAGTACCATACCCTAAGATTACCAAAGTGGAACATTACTGTGGAAAGAATACAGTAACAGGAAAAAGCAACTTTCCCCCAGAGATATATTTCCATTTGCTTAATTATTATCATTAGTACCTAGCAATGAGAGAAGGGTAAGGAATAATAGTAAATTAGAAATAGCCAAAGACGCCGGGCAGTGGTGGCGCACGCCTTTAATCCCAGCACTCGGGAGGCAGAGGCAGGCGGATCTCTGTGAGTTCGAGGCCGGGCTGGACCGATAGCCTCCGAAACAATACAGAGAAACCCTGTCTCGTAAAAACCAAAAAAAAAAAAAAAAAAAAAAGAAAAAAAAAAAAAGAAATAGCCAAAGACATTTAGCAAGTGTGTTTGCCTCTGAAGATCATGGCCAAGACTTATTTTCTAGTTTTATGCCTTTGTGTGTCTATGTATATACGTGTGTTCATATATTTATGAGGTGCATGTGAAGGTTAGATGTCAGCTTCGGGTATCTTCTTCAATTGCTCTTTACCTTGGAGACATAGTTTCTCACTGAACTCGGTTCTCACAGATTTGGCTAGGCTGGCTGGTCATCTGCCAGCCAGCAAATTCCAGGGATTACCCTGTTTCCATGTCCTCAGTGCTGGGACTATAGGCACAAGATGCTGTGCCTAGATTTTCCACCAGTGTAGGGAATGAACTCAGGTACTTGAGCTTGCATGGCAAATACATATATTTGAATGTTTAGTCATCAGGAAGTGGTACTACTTGAGAGAAATTGGGAGGTGTGGTGTTATTGGAGTGGGTGTGGTCTTGTTGGAGAAAGTGCATCAGTGGGGGTGGGCTTTCAGGCTTTAAAAGCCCAAGTCAGGCCCAGTGGCTCTCTTCCTTCTGCCTGCTGATCCAGATGCAGGACTCTCAGCTCTTCTCCAGCACCATGTCTGCCTGTGTGCTGCCATGCTTCCTGCCATGATGATAATAGAGTAAACCTCTGAAACTGTAAGCCAGCCTCAATTTTTTTTATAAGAGTTGCTGTGGTCATGTCTTTTCTCAGCAATACAACAGTGACCAAGACATATATCAAACCAAGCATGGTGGTTCACACTGTTAGTCCCAGCACTCAGGAGGCAGAGGCAGGCTGATTCCTGAGTTCAAAGCCAGCCTGGTCTATCTACATAGAAAGATCCTGTCTCAAAAAGATAACACAACACACACACACACACACACACACACACACACACACACACACACACACTGACCTTCTTGTCCCACTTCATCTTGAATTTTAAAAGCATAATTACACAAGACATTTTTGTAAAAGTTCAAATAACTATACTAGGTTATTTGAAGGTAGTTTTCATGCTCCTCCCCCAATTTTTTATGGTACCATACCTGTCATTAGAAGAAAAATCCATTCCCAAAACAATGCTTTCTTCAGTGTCTTGTCTACCGTTAGTTGAAACCACTACCATATAGCGTGTTCGATTTTGGTAAGTACTTTCCAATCTCACAGCCTGAGGTCAACAGATAACAAAGAAACAAGAAATTTAGAGACATTTTAAATCATTTAATTTTTTTTAAACCAGCATCTCATAGCATGCTACCAAAGCAAAAGAGGTGACAGTTCGGAGACCTAAATTCAAAATTCAACTCATATATTAACTATACAACCTTTGATATAATAATAAATTAATGGGAGAGAGATAAAATTATACCTATGTTGTTTTAAGAATCTTATTACTGGGTACATAAACCACACTTAAGGCAGGCTCCATGCCCAGTAGTAGATGACCAACATAAACTGAACTCAATGGTATTTTTATAGATTTTTTTGGGGGGGTATCATATTGTTGTTTTTTTTTTAACTAACCATACAAGTCTTTTGCTTGTAATATGGCTTCTGATTTTGAGTTTTCACTGATTTGTGTGTGTATCTGTGTATCTTGTATATTTTTCCTGTTTTTTTTCTTTTTATTTCTTTCCTTCCTTTTTTTTTTTTTTTTTTTTTGAGACAGGGTTTCTCTGTAGCTTTGAACCCTGTCCTGGAACTCCCTCTGTAGACCAGGCTGGCCTCGAACTCTCTGCCTGCCTCTGCCTCCCGAGTGCTGGGATTAAAGGTATGTACCCCCACCACCACCAGGCCCTGATTTGTTTTAAAGAGAGAGAAAGAAGGTGTGCAGCTGAATGGGTGGAGATGAGAGAGAGGAACTGCTCAAATATATTGTGTGAAAAATTTTATTTTCAATAAAAAGGTAAAATGAACATTATATACAGGATAAGTATATGTCACTATAAATATACATTAAGCTGGTCAAGCTCAAAATGCTATAGTATATACATAACACTTTATAACAATATATACTGTATATATTTATCTGTCTTATATAGTCTATGTATTTATATGTAGTTATCTATCTCTACAAGCTTGGGGATAAGGTAATCTTCTTACCAAATCATTTCTCCTGGTAAAGAGTCTTTGTTTTACCAAGCTTTAGTCAGGTTCTTGGTCTTTGTTCTAGGTCTATCTATGCAATTCCTTGCAAAATTAAACTTTAGCAAGAACCCCCACTAAATTTATGTGGAATCCACATCATCCTGACCTGATAATACTTGACACATAACTGTATTTCTCATCCTGAACCATCTCCCAAGTGATATATGATCATCCTGAACTATCAGTTCAACCAAAATCCTCTAAATTATTTTAAGCCAAAACTTGATACTGATGGATCTCTGAAATAAAAGGCCTATTGAACCATTAGAGAGAAGGATCTTATCTATGGGTAAGTTTTTCAACCACCTTCAGGGAAGTGAGGTAGCAGATGGAAATACACCTGCTGGGCCTCAGGGTGAAAGCACACAGTAATAGTCAATATTTTTGTTATTATGATCAAAACCATGACCAAGGCAACTCATGGAAGGAAGAGCTGACTAGGGCTTTAGGGTTCCAGAAGGACAGTCCATAATGGGGAGGCATGCCAGCAGTTTGCTAAAGCAGGAAGCTCAGAGATTACATTTCCATCTACAGGCAGGAAGCACAGGGCTACAAACCCTCAAAGCTTGTTCTCCATGAACTTCCTTCAGCAAGGCACTACTGATTTCTCAAGCAAAATATAAACTGGGACCAAGTTTTCAAATACCTGAGCCTATAGAAAACCACCACACATTTATACTGAAAAAATTGAGAGGAAAAGCACAAAGTATTTATTTACCCTGAGTCCACACTGACTACAGGAAAGAGTGAACCAATGAGAAGCTGGCAGAAGATTGAGACAGGAGGTCAATCTGAATGAAGGGCTCAGGCCTTCTTGATTGGCAGGGGTGAACAGTCCAGAAAAAAGCATTTATAAAGAGAACATGGTGTACATTCCAGTGGTCTGCTCTCTAGAATTCAGCCTAGGTTTCAAAATTTATTAAGTTAATCTGGCACAAAGGTGCTAACTGGTTACCCTTCCTTTCATATTTTCTCCTCTGTCCTCTAACCCTTATAGTTTGGCATAGTTCAGGATTTTTAAAACTATATTTGTTTAATTTGTATGTGTGTGGTGCACCCACTTGTGCATGGATCTGTAGAGACCAGAGGTCAATTCTGGGTACTTTCCTCTAGCTTTGCTCAATTACTCTTTGCTTTATTTTCTGAAACAAGTTCTCTTCACTAAACCTACAGATCATTTTGTCTAGACTGGCTGGCCAGCACTGGATTATAGGCACATGCTGTCCTGTGTGGGTTTTACTACATGGGTGTTGTGTGGTGATATTTTGTTTATGATCTAACAAATAAAGCTTGCCTGAAGATCAGAATGCAAAGATAGCCATAGGTGTACACACTTTTAATCCCAGCAGTCACACTAGTTAGCCTTAGAGGCCAGGCAGTGGTGATACACACCTTTAATTCCAGCACTCAGGAGACAGAGGCAGATGGATTTCTGTGAGGTCAAGGCCACTATAGGCTACATGAGAGTGAATCAGTCTAAAAGAGAAACAGAGCTCGCACAAAGGTGATCTTAGCACTTGGGATCTCACACCTTTAATCCTAGTACTAGAGAGGAATCTATGGTGGGAGGAGACAGGAGCTGAGGGGAGTTGGAGGTATGGTGGAGAGCAGTGCAGTCTGAGGTTTGGGTGGATCACCCTTTCAGTCTGAGCATTTGTAGGGGTGAGAACTCTCTAGTGACTGGCAGCGTTGCTTCTCTGATCTTCAGGCAAGCTTTATTAGATTACAGACAAAACATCACTATAGTGCTGGGTATCCAAACTCACGTCCTCATGCTTCCACGGTGAGTGCACTGCTGCTTAGCTCATGGATTTTTACCAACTCTCCATTTTCCTAATTCATAGGTTTTCTTTTATTTGTCAATTTAGTCTTGGTCCTTCACTTGTCTTTTGTATTTCCTCTCAGCAGCCTTCATCTACAGGACTCAACTCTGCTCTTTGGCTATGAATTTCTGCTTGTCTACGCTGGATTTATTTATTTATTTATGCATGTATGTGTATGAATGCATGTATGTATGTTATGTATGTGTTTTGAGAAAGGGTTTCTCTGTGTTAACAGCCCTAGATTTTCTGGAACTCACTCTGTAGACCAGGCTGGCCTCAAACTCACAGAGATCCGCCTGCCTCTGTTTCCCGAGTGCTGGGATTAAAGGCGTGCGCCACCACTGCCCAGCCCATACTGGACTTATAATTAAGCCCAATTCTATACTGAGCCTTCTCAACTTTATCTCAATAGTCCTGAACAAAATTTGTTTTTACCACTTCCAGGAGACCTGACACCTAGAAGAAGAAAGAGTCTTATGAAATAATGAATGTGAATCAGTGCTTGATACATGGTAACTGATTACTACCCACTGTAATATGTTTCTATGAGCAGAATTTATAACAATTGTCAAAACAGGTTCTATAAACTGAAGAGGGGGAAATGAGGAACATGAATGTGAGCACTCATCTCATATAAAATTTTCACAAGCTACTGTATTATGAAGCAAACTATTAGCAAAATGGCTTCCAGGCAACATTCATTTGAAATATTTGCTATACATATACTGCATATTCAATGATATCCACAGTGCTGGGAAATCAATGGTGGAAATGGAGACATGTTCTTTCTCCTTGTGAAATGTACACTCTACTTTTACTGTCTCAAACATCAAATTAATTAATTAAATTAGATAAAGACAGTCTCATGCAGCCCAGGCTGGCTTCTAACTTATAGTCAAGGATAACTCTTTTTTTTTTTTTTTTTGGTTTTTATGAGACAGGGTTTCTCTGTATTGTTTCGGAGGCTATCGGTCCAGCCCGGCCTTGAACTCACAGAGATCCGCCTGCCTCTGCCTCCCGAGTGCTGGGATTAAAGGCGTGCGCCACCACTGCACGGCCAAGGATAACTCTTAACTGGCCCTTCTGCCTCCACCTCACAAGGGACAGGATTATAGGTATCCACGACCATGCTGTTTCCGCAGTGCTGGAGATGGGACCCAGGGCTTCAAGGATTCTGGGTAAGCAGTTCACCAATTAAGTATAAACCTAGCTTTATGCCTCTGTTCTGATATTCCTAACAAAAGATAGGGAAGTAAAAACAGCAGACGTGGCTATGTTAAAAGCTTATTTGTTAGAACCAACACAATCAGAATGTAATGCCATCATTCTGATGTCAAATACACAAGTTGTACCGTTCACTCATGTTCCATGAAGAAAAGTTTCAAAATCAAATTCACGTATGAGACACTAAGAGGAACTAACATTCAAATGAATCACAGTCTAGAGTTAGTCAACTGAGACTGAGGAGGAACATTAAACACACAAAGCTATGGATAACACATGAGGTGGACTGGGAGGCAGCTGTGGATTTCTTTATAGAAACACTCAAAACATACATGTTGTTTTCAAAATTACATCTACGTATTGTGTGTGAGAGGTGCAGTCGTCACTTCTCTCTTTCCACCACATGGGTCCTGGGAACAGAATACAGGTTGCCAGACTTGGTGCAAAGTGCCTTAACCTTAATGACCAAATTATCTCACTGGCCCCATAAATGTTATTTTAACCAGAAAAGGTGGTGCAGGTAAAATCCGATTAAAAAAATTTAATTAACTGTATGCACATGAGTGATGTGTATGTACCATGGTGCACATATGGACTTCAGAAGACAGACAACAACCTGTAGGAGATGGTTCTCTCCATCCACCATGCAGGGTCTGGGGATCAAACTCAGGTCATTAGGCTTAGCAGTTGTCCTTAAACTTGCTATATAGCCTGGGAAGAAAATTACCTTGAACTTTTGATTCTCCCCAGTGCAAGGATTACAGGCAAGAGCTATCATGCCTGGTTTATATAGTACTGAAATTGGAACCCAGGGCATCATGCATTCTAGGTAAGCACATACCAAGCTCCAGAACTTTATAAACAAGATCTCAGATTTTACTTCACGTTTAAAAGTTGAGCATGCAGGGGGCTGAAGAGATGGATCAATGGTTAAGAGAACTGGCTGTTCTTCTAGAGGACCTGGGTTCAATTCCCAGCACCCACATGGCAGTTCACAACTGTCTGTAACTCCAGTTCCAGGAGACCTGACACCTTCATATAGACATATATGCAAGCAAAACACCAATGTAAGAGTAAATAAATCATTAAAATATATTTTTAAAAAAGTTGAGCATGCCTTGGCAATCTTTAACTAAATGTTCAATTTCTAAAATGTGTTAGAAGCACCTTTGCCTGCAAATACAAATGGTGTGGAAATAACTGAACTGTGATTCTGACAAATTAAAAAAATTTGAATCATTTTTCTTTAGTTATGTGTTGTGTAGCATATATGCATATACTGTGTGTGTGTGTGTGTGTGTGTGTGTGTGTGTGTGTGTGTGTGTACTGTTTATGGGGAGGGTCAGAGCTCAACACTGGGTGTTTTCCCCAATTCTTCTGTCATATTTTCTGAGACAGGCTCTTTTACCAAACCTTGAGCTCACCAATTTGGCAAGACTGGATGGCCAGCAAGCCCCAGTGATCCCCTGCCTTTGCCTCTCCTGTGATTGGATGATAGGTATGAACTATTAACCCCAGCTTTTTTATCTCCTGGCCTCAGGGTTGTGCAATAAGCACTATACCAAGTAAGCCATCTCTTTAGCTTTCTATGTCTGATGCTTCTTATGCCAACTACTGGCAACTGACTGGCTACGTCAAGGCTGATGAAAGAAAAAAGGTTTCCTAAATACAGTCTGTAATGCATGTTATCTGGCCCAGGACATTTTGGTAAGTGATATTCAGTACAAACATTTCCTGTCTTTTTAATATTTAACTTATAATATCAAGAACTCATCATTCAAAAAATCATCTTAAAGCTCTCAGTACAATTTAGATGTTGAACCTAAGCAGAGCATTACACAGGTCCTACCTGTCACAAGAGCTTTTCTCATCCCCACAATCTAATAGCCAGAACAGCTTTCTTGAAGAATACACCCCACCTTTGTTTTAAGTTTATTTTCATCACCAGTCTAGACCATGCCTCTGCATGCAGTATTTATCCTCAGGGGAAGCCACATTATAAAGACACAATGTCTAGACAAGCATGTAAGTATTAAAATAAATTCTAGCCAAAAAAGCAAAGTAAAATCAGTAGCTAACATTAAAATAGACTTTAGATATGACATTAATGAATTAAAGAACACTGTCTTAAGAGTTTCAGGAAGTGTCTAGATGAAAAGAACACCAAGTTTAAAAAAAACCTGTAAATTACATTCTGCAGAATCACTGAAAGCATGATCAAGGCTAAAGATAAGGCTCAGAGGACGGGCGCTTGTCTAGCAAGCACATAAGACCCCAGATCTGACCCCAGCACAGTCAATACCTCCTTGCCAAATTCATGATTAATTTATTGACATGGCAAGATATTTATGAAAAACAGGTAAAAAGACATTATACATCTTTTGTAGAACAACAAAACGAAATTAAGCAGGGCTGTGTTAGTTTACTCAATTGCTGCTCCGTCCCAACCCTACCCCATGCAAATATCAAGACAGAATGGAAAGTTGTTTATTCAAATAGAAAAAAAAAACCCTCATTTTCGTTTTTGAGAAAATTTAATATATTGTAAAACCTAAACCAAAAAGCTAATATTTTTAAACTATCTGGCCAAGTTTTTAGTTTTGCAAAAACTTCATTGAGGCTGGGCAGTCTTTTGTAGAACAACAAAACGAAATTAAGCAGGGCTGTGTTAGTTTACTCAATTGCTGCTCCGTCCCAACCCTACCCCATGCAAATATCAAGACAGAATGGAAAGTTGTTTATTCAAATAGAAAAAAAAACCCCTCATTTTCGTTTTTGAGAAAATTTAATATATTGTAAAACCTAAACCAAAAAGCTAATATTTTTAAACTATCTGGCCAAGTTTTTAGTTTTGCAAAAACTTCATTGAGGCTGGGCAGTGGTGGCACATGCCTTTAATCCCAGCACTCAGGAAGCAGAAGCAGGTAGCTCTCTAAGATGGAGGCCAGCCTGGTCTATAGAGATAATTCCAGCACAGACTCCAAAGTTATACAGAGAAACCAAAAAAAAAAAAAAAAAGCCATAAAACAAAACAAAACAAAACAAACAACAATGAAAACCAAAAAAGCTTTGTTGAAGATGCTATAAACATTCTGAAAATCATTAATTTCTCATTGGGTTTTAAGTAGTCCCTTGATAATTCAGAAGAGCACTATAAAACCATTTCCTTATTTAACAAACTTGAAGTGTTTTAAAAACTGAAGTAACATTTAATTCCAGCACTCAGGATACAGAGGCAGGCAGATCTCTGTGAGTTCGAGGCCAGCCTGGCCTACAGGGTGAGTTCCAGAACAATCAGGGGCTACACAGTGAAACCCTGTCTTTAAAAGAAAAAAAAAAAAAGCAGAACTTTCAGTTGATCATCCAACTTTTAACCTTATGCACAAGTCCTGAGATAAGAGTTTTAGCATTCCAAATTTAACTCCAAACAAAAGCCTTTGCTTTGGGTCTACAAATGCCTCTTTCACTCAGAAAGTGCTAATTTATACAAAGTCACACAATGCATTTACTCATTTTCCTGCAGATGACTCTCATTAATCTGAAACATAATGACTATGTGTTTGTAACAATTCAAAATAACTGTAAAGTGCCTTGTCATCTTAATGATTCAGAGGCATGCATTAAAATTTTCTGAACTTATGTTCTATAAATGTAATATATACATAAAACTGTGTCAAAATCTAAAAAGTTGAAGCTGCATATTTTAGTAGGAAAAGAAACTTTAATTTTCAACTCTGCCTTACTAACTTTATCCTTCATTCTTTCAAGTTTCATGTGGGAGATTATTCCATATTTAGGGGTTCAAGCTAAACTCGAGAAGGTTATTAATGAGAAAAAGATAAAATCAAGGATGACATCTTTAGCTTTAGTTTTCCCAGACCACACCATGTTCAAAAGTTATCAGCAAATATCCAGTCTGTGTAAGTGACTATGATCACAGTGTGATCAGCATCTGTTGGAAACTTGTTAAAAATGTAAATTATCTCTACTTCCTCTCCATCAACCAAATTCTGTCATCAAAGCCCAGAACCTGGTAGTTGAAAGCAGCTCTTGATTCTGATCTCCCCCTAAAGTCGAAGAACCACTGCTTCAGAGTACTGATGTCATAAGCATGGTGCTCCATGCCCCACTGCTGGCTTCAGAGTACTGATGTCATAAGCATGGTGCTCCATGCCCCACAGCTGGTTTTTAAAAGAATCATTTGAGAAAATATGTAACAAATGCAGAATGGCCAGAAAGATGACTCAGTAGGTAAAATTGGTTGGTAGACAAGCCCAATGATCTGAGCCTGATCCTTGTATTGTAGAGTGGAAGAAGAAAACCAACTCCTGAAAGTCTTCTCTGACCTTCACACCACATTATGGCATAAGCACCCTACTCATTCCCTCACAAATATACATAGACACACATCAGATACTTTTTAAAATGCAGACAATGATGGGAAGGATGGCACAGCAGGTAAAATCTCAGTGAGAAACCTTATTTTAGGTAGAGTGTGGTGGAGAAGACACCTAATGTCAACCTACTGTTCACACACACACACACACACACACACACACACACAGAGTGAGTGTACTTGCACACATGTATGTTCCACACCTAGATTATTAAAAGTTTTAAGAAAAAATGTGGCCAGGCAGTAGTGGTACACACCTTTACTACTAGCACTTAATAGGAAGAGGCAGGTGGATCTCTGTGACTTCCAAACTAGCCTGGTCTACAGAATGAGTTTCAGGGCAGGAAAAAAAGGAAAAAGAAAAAGTGTGCATTAACCAATTAATAAATGAATAAGGTAGAAACGGATTTTAAAAAAGGAGTTATTGAGGAAGATAATACCTAACATTAACCTCTGGCTTCTACATGTATATGTACATGTACACACACACACACACACACACACACACACACACACACACACACACACACACAAGCAGGTATGCCCGCCCGCATGCATGCACTCGTCAGTGTGCTGGAGGCACAGAGTCAGCATTTGAGAGAAAAGTTAACAAGATTTAAAAAGTAAATGATGAATTAGTGATCACCAGAGAGTCTAGAAGTTTGATCAACATTCCACAGTCAATCTCACACTTTACTCATGATCTCTCTTCTTGGACAGAAAGTAGAAGCCAGCTACTGTGGTTTAGTCAACTTCCAAGCTACTCTCTAACCTAAAGGGTCTGGTAACCACATACTTGGATAACCTCAATAACTGCCTAGTGTACTTCCTTCTCTTTATTGTTTTACCTTCTAGAGGTAAAACTATAACTGTAGCTGGCTCATGTCATTTCTTAGCTTAAAAACTTGTATTTCACAACTGCTTCATGAAGAGGGAGAGTGCTGGGATTAAAGGCATGCAGCTACCACACCTGACCCCCATCTCATACTTCCTAGTATGTCTATTTAATCCTGTCAACTGTGAGATTAGTCATGGAATAAGGAAAAGGGCAAAGACAGCCTAAGGTAACTTGTTCAACATCACATGTTAGCAAGAACCTAAGTCCTGGTCTCTTGACTTTGAGGTCAGTAACAATTGCTGGTTATTTCAGTCATATCTCATCCCTTCCTTTATGTGCTTTTGCTTAAGTATGTTCTTATCTTATGAATTTTGTCTGCTTAATCTCATCATCTTTTAAGATAGTCTCAAGTTCTACTGTCTAGAATAAAACCTTCCTCAATCAGGTCAAATTCCCAAGTTTTCTTCCTTCTTCTGAACTTCAGTTGTTATGGAAAATAAATAACTTACCAACCAGCACTCAACAATCTAGAGCCATCACAGTATCTTATATCACTTCACATTATGTTTTACATGAATTACATTTTCACATGGATAGGTCATTTTTCATTTCTATTCCACCTACTTCTTGGCACTTTGCTTTAACAAAAATCAACTTTAATACTGGCTATTTTAGGCAGCCTTCTGAGGAAGACAATTGTGGTAATGCCATTAACTTACCAGCCTTATGTTGTCTTCTGGGCGTAGTAATATGAACATTGCTTGAAGATGTTGTTGGAGATCACCTGGAGAAATTTACAAAGCAAAGGATGATTAGTCTCCATTCAAAACTCAATAGAGAGGATTCCTTCTACCGTAGTGGCTTGTAAAGTTATGATTTACGGAAGAGTTATTTTTTAATATTTTAATTTATTTTAGTGTGAGTGCATGCCTACATGCACATGCATATTGGCACTTTCCATGGAGGCTGAAAGACAACTTGTTGGAATTGGCTCTCTCTTTCTAGTATGTGGGTGCCAGAGATTGAACTCAGTTGTCATGCTTGGCAGCAAGCACCTTTACCCATAGAACCATCTCATCAATTTTATTGTTGTTTAGGACTGGGTCTTACTGTATCCCTGGCTGATCTGAAACTTGGTATGTAGATGAGTATGGCTTCCAACTTACAGAGACCTGTTTGCTTCTGGAGTGTTGGAATTAAAGGGATGAGCCATCATCCCAGCTCCATTTCATATTTTTACCATGTATATGCGTATATGCAAGTGTAGGTGCTAATGAGGCCAGAAGAGGGTGCTAGAGTTTGTTGTGGGCCAACTGATATGGGTGCTGAAAACAAACTTGGGTCCTCTATTATAAAAGAAGTGCATGCTTTTAGCCACCCAGCCATCTGACCAGGTCCCCGAGTCTCTTAATTATAGATAGACATCAGTTAAGATTATTGGTTTGACTTTTTAAATAGTAAGAGAGCAGTAGGTTGCATTTTTATATATTTACTTTCAGTTAATAGTATGTTAAAATTTGTATTTGTCCTAGGGAAGGCATATTTGAAAAACAATCTCTATTTCCTACGATGGTAGAAATGAATGAGCAGTCTGTTGGTAAGTGTGTTGGTGGAGCCCCATAAAGGGCAGTAAAAAAAGTGTGTGAAGAATTATGTGAAGAATTATTCTTAAGTTTTGAATGGCATATGTAATTTCTTCTTCTGTGATAATAATATTGAGATGCATTTAACTTACATACTGTTAGATTCCCTTTATTTTCAATAGTTTAAAGTAGTTAGTGGATGCTATTAAAATGAGAGTACCTATTAAAGAAAATGTATTAGGAATAGTTATTCTCCTGAACATATAAGGTACTTTAACATGACATACTATTATTTGAAACTTCATTTATTTTTACATATTTTATAAAACTAAATTAAAACATTTGTAGTAAGATTTAAGATACTAGTACTTAGGAGGGAGAGGCACACAGATATCTGAGTCCAAGGCCAGCCTGGTCTACAGAGAAAGTTCCAGCACAGCCAGGGCTATACAGAGAAACTCTGTCTCAAAGGAGAAAAAAAAATAAAAAATGATTTAAGATATTAAGGATGATGCTAGGCATTGTGGTACATGGCTTTAATCCTAGCACTGAGGAGGCTGAGGTTGGTGGATCTATGAGTTCAAGGTCAGCCTGGTCTACATAGTGAGCTCCATGCCAGCCAGGGCTATGTGATGAGATCATGTTTCAAACAACAACAAACCAAAAAAAAAAAAACAAAAAAACAAAAACAAAAAACAAACAAACAAAAAAAACCAAAAACCAAAAACCAAAAAAACCCGAAAGAGACTAAGGATAATAAAACAAACAAACAAACAAACAAAAAACTGTGGAAACTCATAATTTGTAAGCTTGTGGGGATATGTATGTATGTATGTATACACAAATACACACATATATAATTTATTTAAAAAGAATAGGAATTTGAACACAGATATTATATTGTTGGGCAATGATTCCCACAGAAGACATGGGTTATTAAGTGAAAATCACCAGTACTAGCTATAGGTTCCCTCTCTACATACAGGTTATTAGTTAGGGAGATTCCACAGGCATCCACACAGAGAAATCAAGCTGGAATTGACCCGAAAGTTCCTCCCCATTGACCAACTTTCATAGTATCAGAAGGAGAAAAGACACACAGCCAACCCTGCATGCTATAATACTGAGCTCTCAGACAAGATGTGCCCGCCCACTGGCACAATAGCGGCACTAAGGCCATGGGGTAACCAACTGCTTTAGACTACATCTGAAGCTTGTTCCACAAGAAAGAATTTAGGCTTGGAACTGTAAATCTGGCCAAAAGCCCAGGTTCTGTAGGTCATAGGCTCTGGGGAAGAACCTATTACTATTGTTTTCTTAAACTACATGTTGTTGAACTGCCTTTTGAATATTTATGCTTATACCCATAGATTAGTACTGCCCTCAAACTTGACCAGGGAGACTACTCTCTGCAGTGGTCAATAGTTAATGCACACTCTTTCAAGATGCTGAGATTGTCTGTTGAGGGCTCATCCCTAAAGAGGACACCTATCCACTTCTCACACTCCAACAAAAGTTCAGGAAAATTGCAGAAGGAAAGAAAGAATGAAAGAACCAGAGGCTAGGAAGGAATGTGAAGTGCTGGGCATCACACCCTGGAACTCACTGCAGCTATGGTTACCAGCACAAGATCAAGTCAAACAAGATCAGTAAACATTCTAACAGGCAGCACTAACTGGACTTAGTGGGCTATTAACAAAAAAGGGAAAAGCCACAAAAGGCATGTGCTAGAGGTGCCCAAGGAAGTGGGAGGGAGGAGTTGGGTGTTCCTGAGGGAGTAGGAGGGGAAGTTGGAGACACAGAAAATCAACATTGTTTACATTACTAAACTGTCAAAGAATAACTAAAAGTAATTCTATTAAAAAAAAGAGGGGCTGTAGAGATGGCTCAGCAGTTAAGATACTTGCGGGGCCCTGGGCAGTGGATCAGTATTTATCCCTGGCATACAAATGGACTTCGTGTGTCCATAACACAAAGAGGGATGCTCTCTCAGCCTGGACTCTTAGGGGAGGTCCTGGACCCCGCCCTGAGCTAAATGACAGACTCTGGATATCCCCTGTGTGGAAGGAAGTGGGGATAGGGTGGGAGGCTGAGGGGGATGGTGGGGAGGCAAGGGAGGAAGGGAGGGAGAGGGAACTGGGATTGACATGTAAAACAAGCTATTTAAAATTAAAGTAATAAAAAAATATAAAAAAAGAACACTTGCTACCTCTCCCACAGGACCTGGGTCTGATTCTCACCACTCACAATTACCCTTAACTCCAGCTTCAGGGGATTTGATGCTGCTGGCCCCCACAAGCATCTGCAATCATGTGCACATACCCACATGCAGACACACACCTATACATAATTTATTAAATCTTTTAAAAAATAGGAGAGCTCAATAAAAAAGATTTAAGATAGATTTTTTTTCATTTCCCTATTCTGTACTAGGAAATCTGAGGATTTGGCTAACAGGAGACAGATAATATACTATCACAAATGATGACAATCTAAGAACCTACGGCTTTATTTCTAACCACCTATGGCACTTTTAAAAAATTTTTAAGGTGTCTGTTGCAGCCACATAATCATAGATGCCAGTATGGCTTGATTTTACACTAACCTTGAAACCTACATATATAATTTTCTCTGTGTTCTCTTCATAGCTTTTAAGCATAGCATTAGCTGTGCGAGAAGCAGGGAGAGGGGGAAGAAAAGATGTAAGTAGGTGTGCTTAAAAGGCGGACAAATCTGGAGATCTTTTCTCAATTTTTTTCAAAGAATAATTTTGCTTCCCTCCCCATTTCACTGCTTGCTTCTGAATAATTCCAGTGCAATAGAATCCTTTAACTTTCAAATTAAAAAGAAGATCCATTCTACCATGTTTCAAGTCCAGACACACAACCTGAAGAAGCAGGATGAGTTCCTAGGTATAAACCCAAGGGAAATGAAAATACATGTACAGATGAAAACTTACATGAGAGTTCATATTCATTATTCATAACAGCCTACAATTTCAGCACTTGGGAGGTCCAGGCAGAGTTCAAGGTTAGCTTTGGCTACATGGCGAGTTTGAAGCCAGCTTGGGTTGCATAAGACCTCGCCTCAAAAGAAAGAAAGAAACAAACAGGTACCCTTCCCCCCTAAAAATAAAATAAAAATTAAAAAACCCCAAAATCCCCTCCAGTTTATACCAGGTATGGTAACAAACACCTGCAAGCTCAATGCACAAGAAGCCAAGGCAGGAATATCGCTGTGAATCTGAGGTCATCCTAGGATACAGAACGTGACTCTATCTTAAAAAACAAAACAAAACAAAACCCACAACAAAAACAACAAACAACTAAGATCAGGGCTGGTGGTATACGAAAGCAGGAGAGAGCTTGCCTTTCATGAAACAAGGCCCCTGGGTTCCATCCTTAGCACAATGAGGCAGCAGACACCATCACACACTTAAGTTCCTCTTCAAGACCATGAGAAATAAGCCCAGAAAAATCCCTCAACGCACTAGTGGTGCAAAGATCCAGCTGGGTTATTTCACAGTTAGATAAAACCCAGGACTCTTCCTTCTGCTGTGAGGCCTTTTCTGAGCTGAATATCTAGAAGTTTAGTTTACTTACCATGAAAAGTTTTGCTGTGAGCAAGCACGGTATTATTTCCTACAGAGAAACTCAGGTTTACAGAGACTAACAGGATATACTGCTAAAGTCCCTCCTTTATTTTATACTCTTCATATGTATTTTACCAATGGTAGCTAAACTGCAGATCAGTTTTGATTAAAGAATTTTCAACATTTTCCTTTTAAAGATACGTACAGATGTTTACTAATATAATTTTTGTTATTTTGTTTTTTTCGAGGCAGGGTTTCTCTGTGGCTTTGGAGGCTGTCCTGAAACTAGCTCTTGTAGTCCAGGGTGGTCTCAAACTTACAGAGATCTGCCTGCCTCTACCTCCCGAGTGCTGGGATTAAAGGCGTGCGCCACCACTGCCCAGATAATAATATAATTTTTAAGTTGCCAAACAGTATTTAAATGTTTTAAATGCCTAGAATAAAAAAATCTATAGACAGATTCAAGAAATATGCATAGGAATATACCATCAGATTCTGTAAGCCCTTGATGTATGCTATTCTGCTCAGCCAAGACGGTTTATCTGAAGGTTTGGATTTATAAACTTCATTTCTACATATATTGCCTCATTTGCTTAGTCTGTATCACAAGTCAATTCCCAGCAGCCTGTGTTAAACCTGCGTTTTATTTTTACCTAAGTGAACAATGTCAAGTAGAAACATTTGAGTGTGAAAATTTCATCAAAAAACAAAACAAAACTCAACCAGGGTCAGGTAGGAGCTTGAAAAGCAACTAAGCCCACTTACTATTACACTGCAGGGGGTAATTCACCCAAAATATTAGTCAGATGAGTTGGATTTAGAACAATAGTTTGTCTTTGTCTTATTGTCAGAAATATCCACACCCAACAGAAATAAAGCTTAGCTTGGATTATTTCCTTTGGGCATTCACACTTTTTGGCAAAATTCTCACTTCCACCTATGATGAAGGATGCTGAGGAGGAAGCATTGCCAGAGTATACCCAAGCTAATTTTCACATTTTCTCTCCCTTACTTAAAAAAATGCCATTGCCAGAGAGTTTTGGCAGGAATTTAATAACATGGCCTAGGGAAACTAGTTATAACTGTGAACTGCTACATTTCTAATGAGATGAAAGCTCAGACAAGAAATAGCACAGCCTCTAAAGTAGCTGAGATTATTTTGATTAGAGCTAAACTCAACTATTGACTCAATAGGATCCAGTATTTCTTGCTTTCAACTCTGATCTGTATGCTCAAGTTTCCCTTCCTTGTACTCCTGGAGGTCACAAGTCAACAAAGTTAAGGTAAAAGGTTTGTGTGGTTAGCTTTGTCAACTTGACACAGCCTAGAGTCACCTGGGAAGAGTCAATGAGGGACTGTTCACCTGGGGTAGTCTGAAGGTATCTATGCAGGGATTGTCACAATTAAGTTAATTGATGGGGTAGGACTCAGCTCCCTTTGGGTGGAACCATTCTCTAGGCAAGGTGGGTCCTAAGCTGAGTAAGAGCAGAGAATTGGAGCTGAGTACAAGTGAGCGAGCAAGCCAGTGAGCATGTATGCATTCATTTCCTTCTGCTCTTGACTGTGGCTGTGACTATTGTTTGGAATCCTGTCTTGACTTCCCTGCAATACAGGGCTATAAAATAATGGACTATAATCTGGAATTATGAACTAAAACAGACACTTCCTCCATAGAATTGCTTTTTGTCTAGATATTGTATCCTAGCAACAAAAAGGAAACTAGAACATAAATGTGCTGTTTTACCTGCATGCTTGTTGCGTCTGTGGCTGATTCTTGGTGTAGACGAGCCATTCCCCCGTGGTAGAAAAAGGGCAGCACCTTTGACAGTTAAAAAGCTCTCGCTGATGCTGTAAGGAAAAAGTAGTTAAGAGGAACATTACTTAAGGATGGAGATCCATTATATGACTTCTTTTTTTCCTTATCCAAAGTTCCACCTTCACAGGGTAAAGCACACCTTTAATCCTAGCACTGGGAAGGCAGACACAAGCATCTGACCTCTGTCAGCCTGGGCTATAAAGCAAGTTCCATGTTAATCAGGGCCACACAGTGAGACCATATCAAAAATAAACAAACAAAATGAGAAAGAAAGTAAAACAAACAACAAACTCAAATTAAAAAAACCAATTAAAAACAAAAAATAAAAACCCAAATAAAACCAAAACCCAACAATTTCAAGAGGAGAGATTACTCATTATTCTGGTTGCTCACATATAGTCTTGCCTATTCTAGATAATTTTTCTAAAACAAGACTTAAGATATTCTATTTAACTTACATGACATAAGAAATTAAATAAATAAAAGGGCAGAGGCTCTGGAACTAGACTGTAAAGTCTGAACCCCAGCTCTACTGCTTGTGGTTATTTACTCTTCTATAAAATGGGGTCATGGCTGGGCAGTGGTGGCGCACGCCTTTAATCCCAGCACTCAGGAGGCAGAGGCAGGCGGATCTCTGTGAGTTCGAGGCCGGGCTGGACTGATAGCCTCCAAAACAATACAGAGAAACCCTGTCTCGTAAAAACCAAAAAAAAAAAAAAAAAAAAAAAAAAAAAAAGAGGACATGAACCTAGGTGCCTGGGTTCAAAGATGTAAGTGTCCCTGTCTTACCAAGCAGGGTTTCTCTGTGTAGCCATGGCTGTTCTGCAACTCACTCTATAGACCAGGCTGGCCGTGAACTCAGAAATCTGCCTGCCTCTGCATCCTGAGTGCTGGGATTAAAGGCATGTGCCATCATGCCTGGCTAGAAGTTCTTAATAAATATTAATTATTATTAGTGATTATCATTGGTAGTATTTCAATGGTGTTCTGATATGAATATAAAATGTTCTCTGTTTACCCAGAGCCCCACATATGCTTGGTAATTACTTCATTACTGAGCTATACCTACTGCCCAGAAATACCTCAATATTTATTTATAACAGAGCCAGAGTTTGGAAGAACACTTATTTTAAACACACACACACACACACACACACACACCATTCTCAAGTGTGAGTTCAAAATTGTATACTCATTAAGAACAACAGTGGTTACCAAAACCTGCAAAGGATAATACTGAGGGGCTACAAAGAGGTAATGATGGTTGGTGGGTACAGGAGTTTAGTTCGGACAGGACAAATAACTTCTAATATTTATAGCACAGTAGGATAACTATGACGGACCACAAGTGTATACTTAAAATTAGCTACAAGATTTTGAAGGTTCCTAGTATAAGGAAATGGTAAATGTCTGAGGTGATGAATTTGACCTATGAGCACCTAGACCTATCACTGAACACTGTATACAGGGGGTGGAGAGACGACTCACCAGTTAAGAGCACTTGTTGCTCTTTCAGAGGGCCCAGATAAAATTCCCTGTACCCATATGGTGGCTCAAAACCATCCAGTTCCAGGGGAATTCAACAAGCAAACACATCGTGTACACGCACACACACACACACACACACGCACGCACGCAAAACATACACATAAAGTAAAAAATATGAAGAAATAAATTATATACAGTAACAAAATATTACATAAATACACATAATATCTCATAAGTATGTAAACTGCTGTGTGTAAATAAAAAATAAAAAAACTAAAATCACACTCTCATTAAGTTGTATCTCCACATGCACTGATGAGAGCTAGCGCAGAGGCAGTGTGCTTTACTTTCTGGAGTAGACCCCATGTTAAAATCATTCATGTGGGAGGCTGATAACATAAGTGAAGAATTATTGCTTAGAATAGAAGATATTCAAAAACAAAATTATAAGTGGATATCCACAGAAAACATCAAAATTTCTTTCATAACAATGGGCTTAACAAGCCTTTCATTATTACCCACAGAATCTGAAAGTCAGAACTTTTAAGTCACTCATGGCAGTTTAGAAACATGTTATAGGTTTCTAGGTCTGCCCCAGAGTATGTAGTGTTATTCTGGGCTAGCCAGTGCATGCAAACAACACTGCCTCCTCAAACTTTCTACTGGGAAAAATCTAATTGACATCTTAAATTTACACTGTCAAAGCTAAATTTCTGGGCTGGGGACACAGCTTACAGATAAAGCACTTGCCTACCATGTACAAAGATCTTAGCTTAACCCTCCAATACTGTAAAACCAAACCAAACAACCTCATCAGAAACAACAAAGAACCTCTCTAAACCTTTCTGTGGTTCTGGGGACCAAGCCCAGGGCCTCACACAACTAGGCAAGAGATTTACTATGGAGCTAAGCACAGTCCTTGTCCCAACTCTGAAGTACTTCCTCATGACTGATACCTAGATTCTACATAGTTGTTTGGGATAAATGCAGAACAGTCAAGTCAGCCTTTGTGTCTTTTTACGTCTTTAAACTATATCTTTAATCCATCTGCAAATCCCATGGGTTGTACTCTCAAACCCACCTTGAATCTGTCTACCCTCTTCCATCATCATGACTCTGGTCCATAGTATTGCCATTTCCTTCTTATGTGGTTGTTTGTTTGGGCTTTTAAAGAAGTGTTTTAGCTGGGTGGTGGTGGTGACGGTGGTGGTGTTGCACACATTTAATACCAGCGCTCAGAAGGCAGAGGCAGGTGGATCTAAGTTCAAAGCTAGCCTGATCTACAGAGCTAGTACTAGGCTAACCAGGACTACACAGAAAACCCCTCCCACAAAACAACCAACCAACCAACCAACCAACCAACCAACCAACCAACCAACCACAAACAAGAAACAACCCCCCCAAAGAAAACCCTAAACACATACAAAAGTGTTTTTACTGAGAAATTCACCTTTGCTGATATAACTAGGTCTTAGCAATTCCCCTGATTTTTTTGTGATAGGATCTCATGTAATCATGCTGGTCTTGAAGTTGCTATGTAGCCAAGGATAACTCTAAATGAATCTTCTAGTATCCACTTTCCAAGTACTGGGATTAAGGTGTGAGCCGTCATATCCAGCCAACAGTTCTTCAGTAGTGACAGTGTTATACTGAACTGTAGTTACTTTTCAACCATTTTTCTAGGACTTACTAGACTGATTTGTATACATAGTCAGTAGCTGTCCAGAAAAATTTTTTAAGAATAATGGTGAAAAAGTATAATTAGATAAAGAAAGAAAGAAAGAAAGAAAGAAAGAAAGAAAGAAAGAAAGAAAGAAATTTCTGTTTTGTTTTTGAAGTAGAATATCAAAAACCAGGCTGGCTTTGCTCACCTTACGTAGTTTAGGATGATGATGTTGATCTCTTCCTCCTGCCATTACCTTTCCAGTGTTGGTGCTATAGACAAGTACTAAGACAAGCTGGCTGTTTATTTTGTAATAAAAGCTTTTAAGTAAAGTTTTCAAACAGATGGGCAAGGTAGTGAATGCCTTTAGTACTAGCACTTAGGAGGCACAGGCAGGTGAATGTAAGTTTGAGGACAGCCTGGTCTACATAGTAAGACCATCTTAAAACAAATAAACAAACAAACAGAACAAAACAGAACCTTTTAAATGTACAGAAAAGTAGTGTGTGTGTGTGTGTGTGTGTGTGTGTGTGTGTGTGTGTGTGAAGGCTGGAGTGGTGGTTCAGGGGTTAAAAATTCTTGCTGCTTTTGCAGATGAGTAAGGTTTAGTTCCCAACACCCATATTAATCAGCTCACAACTGCCTGTAACTCCAGTTCCAGGGGAACCAACCTCTTTTTGCTTCCTCAAGCACTTTCACACACTTGGTGCATATATATATATATAGACACACACACATAAACACACACACACACAAACACACACACAATAGATAAGCAAATAAGTATTTTTAAAGTAGGAAAAATTTATGAATGCCCATATTTATCACATTATAGCTTTAGTTCTGTGCTAATTTTCTGTCTATCTTCATTTCCTTCACTTTGTCTCTAACGTGAATCAAATCCCAGACACTGTATCAACAAAAAGTCTTTTGGTAGTTCTGTCTGCAACCAATTTTGCCCTTCTGCTACCCACTCATCAAACTTCAGCCAGAGTGCAGAGTACTTTCAGATTATAGTGTCACTGTGTATAACCTTGTAACGGCTTCTTCCTTTCATACTTAAAAACGAAGAGCCTGCCTGCAGCTTGATCTTCTAGGCCCATGAAACAGCCTGCATTTTAGCGAGTTACTTCTGATCTTAAGCTACCTGCCTCTTCTTGTTTACTATGAACTATCCCTGGTCAGTCCATTCTGACTCCGGTATTTCAGGACCCCCTTCTCAAGGTCTTTGTACGTATCACTCTCTACTTGATTCTTCTCCTTCACTGTTCAGTATTTAAATCTCAGCTCTACTATTACCATTCCTCTTTTCTTTTATCCTATTGGTCCTGTTCTGTTTCTTTCAGGATATTTTTGTGAACTAAATTATTTATTCACTTTTTTTTTTTTGAGACAGGGCTTCAGTGTATAACCACTGTGGCTGTCCTGTCTCTTTGCAGAGACCAGGCTGGCCTTGAACTCACTGAGATCTGCCTGCCTCTACCTCCTGAGGTGTTCTTGATTGCAGTTATCAGCATATAAACTCCATGGGAGCAAGGACTTCACCTGGCTCTTACTGTGTCCTCAACATGGGAAAGAAACACTACCAGAAACACATTAAGGGTTCAAAAGATATATGATAATAAATTAAAACATCCTAGTTTCCCCGATTTTCTGGACTGTTCCATCAATGCAGTAGGAATAACTCCAGTTAAAAAGTGTGTTATACAGCACACTGGGTGTGGTGACACCTGCTTTTAATTCCAGCACTTGAAGTAGAGGTAGATCTCTTCTGAGACCAGCTTCTGGTCTACATAGCAAGTTACAGACCAACCAGAACTACATCATGAGAGCCTGTCTCAAAAAAAAAGTGTTAATAGAACTCCATGCATGTGGTAGACT